TATTAAGAAAACAATTAACTCAAACAAGATATCCGTAAACATGAACAGCAGAATATGAACAATCTACCTCTGTAGATTAAACCAAAAGGGTTCTGAGTGTAAATAAATCTTTCTTGTCATCTATTTTATAATCCATAAAAAGCACTCATACCCAATTTGATGGCATGTAAAACATATTCCTCTTCATTTATATTTAATATTATGAAGTTAGACTTGCTACAAGTTCTGTTAGTCTATAGCATTTGATGAATCATCAACTTATTAAATATTTTCATTTAGTATATAAAACCTGGGAGATATTTTTGTGCTTGTTTTTTGTTTTCCTTTTTTTAAACAGAGTCTGTTTTATATGCCATCAAATGTCATCAGAGTACAACATAAAACTGAAACATTACCATGTGGTTATCAGATTTTACAATGTACTGACTGTAATTAAAGTAGACAGAGTGTGTATCACTAAATCAAGAGTAACTGACAGTATATGTTAATATTCAAAACACCACTTTATATAGAAAAGATAAAGGGGTTTGGTTTATGTGCTGAATGAATCTCTCATTTATCAAAAAAAAAAAAAAAGAAAAAAAAGGAAAGCATTCAGCTGTTAAAACTGAAGAAAATGTCCTTTTATCAAAATGGCTTTGGATTTTACAAGAACAAGAACATTTTCAAAGAGGAATTTATAAATAACATTCAATCTTCTTTATGTGATACTGTGACATTGTGACATTAAGGAATTTTCAAATGAAACTATTTAGACTAAATGATTCCATTTATTTTGCATAGTATTGATGCCATATTTGTTTTTAAATTCCAGTTGTTATGTTCTTTAGCCTTCTTCAGGTATATATGATATCAAGTGATATTTAGGACATTATTTCTCTCATCACCGCAACTAAAACATTACAGTCTAATTGAGTCACAGAACAGTGTATTAAGATGATGTCATCTCTGAACTTCTGGAAAGTTAACAATGTATTATTGAGAAATTATCACTGCTCTTTTGGTGATAATTTTCCTTGTTTGTACATTGTGAATAATACGATTTCAAGATAAGTAGAGGTATTTTCAATTAATTTAGACTATTTTATAAGTATAAAGAAGAAAACAGTACAATTTGGCCACAAAGACCTTCAGGCTTAAAAATGAATAAATTAAAAAGTTTTCTGGTTTAGCTAACAACAAAGCAATGGGTAAAAAATGCTTTCAAACATCAGCACAAAGTAAATACCCATTATTACTGAATTCAATTTTAAAGGAAAAATGTGCTCTCTTTTGAATTATTGTAAAGTTCACCAGTCAGTACTATGCTTGCAAAGTCTGCTCTGACCATTTGGTAAGAATGAAAAAACATAATTCACTTATTAAATAAACAGCAACACAATTCATAATAACAAATGCTTATTCAGCTTCAAACAATTTTACAAAACAGGTAGCAAAGGGGAGATAACTTTCACCTTGGTCACGGAGCAATTTTAAAAATTGAGGGTCAGGGTCATTTATTATCATTTTTTTTTTTTAAATCTTTTTAACGTTTTATAATTTTTTTTTCCCTTTTTATTGAATTTTCTGAATTATATTTTTTTGCTCCATTTCATGAGGAGGAAACATTGGATAGTGAAAGAAAAAGAAAAATGTTAAAAACAGAAAACAATAGAAATGTTGGTAATAAATTCATTTGCATAATCATAAAGGCTTGTTGATAACTATGAGATGGATGCTGAAAAGTTCTTGACCTGACCAAGAAACCCTTAAAAAAAAAAAAAAAAAAAATGTCTGGTTAACTTTTGGGACCAAGAATGTTTCAGCACTCCCTCATATATATCCTAAAAAGAAGTAAAGAAGCTAGCTTAACTGCAGTGCTATGTGAAAACTACTGGCTTCATAATAAAAAAAAAAAAAAAAAAAAAAAAAAAAAAAAGAAAAAAGAAAGAAAGAAGCAACACATGAAAAATAATTCTTTTGTTAATATGATGAGATCACATAGTCAGCTGATCACATTAAGATTAGTGAATGGGCAAGAAAATATGAAAAGAGGCTGCAGGTCAAATGGGTAAACTGTATCATTCTACTTGTAAGTTCATTTGGTATACACTTATAATATTTGGTGGATATAGCAGAAAAAAAAGAAAAAAAACAGAGGAAGCCATCCTTACAAGACTCATGTGTTAGAACACAAACTTTGTTTTGTATAGAAAGAAATATGAACAGTGGAATTATGTGCGTGCAAATGAGATGGTTCAGTGATTGCTTGATATTTTTCAATTTGTTTTTACTGATTAAATATGTCGACAAATGCCACATAACAGTTTTCCTGCAGTTAAAAGGAATTGGAAGTATATTTTTCATAATTTGCTTATTCCAAATTTCTTGATTTAAGTTATTTTAATTAAATAAATAACCTTGCTTATCTAAGTAGACATAGATTAAATTTAAATTAATCTGGCTAGCTTTTTAACAAAAGTAAAATGAAAATACAAGGTAATTTTTTTCATTTCTTCAGGTAAATTGCACCCCACCTCAGCCAGGTTATTTTGATTCATTGGCTAAAAGGCTAAAGAGCAGCATGAACCATTTATTTTTTAATTTGATGGCATTAACACCATTTTGAAGCATGATGCATGCCTGCATAGGAATGTAGGGAGATACTACACAGTGATATATCAATATTCTTGAATCTCTTTTCTCAATAATCTTATGGAGTTCTTTACAGTTACTTATTCTGAAAATGTTAACTTTTTATTTAGTAATTCATACATTTACATGGAAAGTGAATGAAATGCACAATGACATTAAAATGGTTAACTGAATTCTGTAAACATATGCTTAAACTTACATATTCTCATTTACAGTGGTTAGCCACACACCATTCAATACTATAGTGAGTTTAGTCTTTACTGAGTGCACCAGTTATGGCCTTATGTCAGGCAATGCTAAGCTTAGTAAATACTCAATATAAATCCTGTTGGTATCTGAACCTGTCTTGGAATTTTTTTAAAAACTTTCCTTTTTAAGATTTAATTAATTATTTATTATTTAATTATTAATTTATTCAGTTATATTTAAACAAGCTAATCTTGCAGGCAATCATAAACATCTGCCTTGTGCTAAACCAAACCAAATTTAGTAGATATTTACAATCATTCATTAAATTATTGAAATAATTCATGAAATAACATTATATGTTATTTTCTTTTGATTTAATTGTGGGATGATCTAAGCATCATTTATTTCAAATCATAATTTTATAGATTCTAATTATTAATATTTTAAAACTTTAACAAAGAAATATTATATTTTTAAAATATTTTGTTTTATTATAAGTCATTATTATTTTATTATAAATTATTATAAATCTGGAATTTCTTAATATATTTTACAGATATTGTAAAAATTATTGGACCCAGAAGTTGTTTGCAGAATTAAAACCAGTTTTCTTGGCATCTGTTTGCATATTTCAGATCAGAAGAAACATTAAAGAAAAGGACCAGGTTATCACAAAATAATTATAAGGATATTGCTGCCACTTTGTCAAATATTAATTAGAGAAGGTTTATTATTATTATTATCATCATCATCATCATCATTTTTTTAACAGTATAAAGGATTGCCATGCAGAAGAATGGGAACACAAAAGACTTGCCCAAGATTTGGATCAGAATTGCTAAATGTGATGGGCTACATTTGAAAACTCAGCATAGCTAAATTTTGAGCTGATTTTCTTCTCATTGTCAGACCAGAATTAAATTTAAAATTAGCCCCCAAAGTCACAAGTTGTAAAATTGAAAATTTAGAAGCACTGAGATTTCAGAAGTAGTTCAATTTGGCAACTTTGGTCTGCAAAAACAATCCTAGGTTTGAACCTAGGCCAACCATCTGACAACAGTTTAGCTAATAAAGAGCTAATGTCCTTTCGCAAAAATAACAAACCATTTATTTATATATGGTTAGAATAAAAAAAAGAAGTATCTATGGAAACTCAGGGTTTTACACACAGAATGGAGGAATCACTGTATATGTACAGTTTTAAAATATTGTTTTTTGTAATATACAGATCAGTGGAAAAAGGTTAACACAACATGTGCATTGTATGTGAGTGCATGCATATTATATATATATATATATATGTATTTATGTGTGTATGTGTGAGAGACAGATATGAGAAAGAGAGAGAGATGTTAGTTATAAAATTTATACATGAAATAAAATCCATATCAATTGAGAAAGCAAATACATATATGTAAACTGTATATGATATCTGCAACTGACAAGGTTGTATCATAATTAAAAGTTGAAGTGTAATGTTATGTAAACTGGATAATGTGGATTTTGAAAGAACATCATAAAACCAACCACAATGTATCTTTGCTTCAGAAGCTAGCATTTTTTATAAAAACTAACCATGTGGTGTTAACATCAAACATTAAAATTTAGTCATATAAATGGAAACCAAAACCTTGTTCAGTTTTATGTTTAGGTTCATTAACCAAAAATGACATGATTAAACTTCAAGCAGCCAAAACTCAACAGATCATGGTTAGGGTAATAAGCAATGGACACCAGGGATCCATAAACTACTTACAAATAGAAACTAATAAAATAATTCTCTTGACAACTGGCTAATATACAAAGAATTGCAGATATCTTCAAGGTTCAGAGGCCTTGAAAAGAATATCAGGCTAAATTTCCAGGTAAACCAAAAAGTTAGCAAAATGTTTTAGAGAAAACCTAGTGATCTACAATTTATGATCCCATTCCAAAAAATATCCAAAGATATTATCCCAGTGCCTTTAAATCTCCAAGAGATTTATTTGGTACACTCAGAATGGAGTAAGATGTGAGATAGTTTTATGAAGTGCATAAAAATAAGTTTCATTTATTTTCAAAATGTTTCATATACAAAAGGTGACATATATATTGGTGGGGATATATTGTCTGTGGTGATAGGTAATATACTGTCTGTCGGCTGTAGGAACTATATTGCCCATGGGGAAAGAGACTAGTTACTGAAGACGTTCTGCAGGAGCATTCTATTGACAAAAAAAAAAAATCAGTTAATATATACAATGGAATCAAACGTTGAACTCTCTGTTCTATTTTTCTGAAAAGCAATTCCTTAAATTCTAACTTAGAGTTTCTCCAAAGTTTTTCCTTGTTAGACCCAAGCATTAGATCAAAGAGCGGCATGAAGTCCCTAACCATTTATTTTAATTTATATTAATTATCAAAGATAAACATTCCCACCTCAAAATGGAATCACTTCACATCTCTCATATGCAAAGTGAAGGAAACTGGAGAAACAAGAAGAATTAAAAACAAAATTGTCTCGTTGTTAAAAGAAGTGGTGTTTTGTTAATCACATTTAAAAACAACTATCATTTGCATACAAAAAGGATTTGTTTTTAAATCAACATTCTTTTTAATCAAGCAATTTAAATCATATATTTATACCAAAACAAAATAATTTTAAACATTTATTTGATCTTTATATGTGGAAAAATCTTTCTTCTCATTATTCAATAATCAAAGAAAAATGTATGTAATTTACTGAGATAATCACCACTAATTTGGGGAGAAAGTAAAATTATTATTATTTTTTTTAATTTTTTTTTTTACAAATCTTATTTCAGTCAAATTTCATTAATAAATCTTATAAAGTCCTTAAATTAAATAGACTTGAAACTGATTCCAAAGTTAATGTTGGCTTTTAGCCATTTAGGTAGTGTTTTTAAAAAAAAATAGTGTCAATCCTTGATGTTGAATTTCAAGAAATTTAATTTTAGATAACTAAATATAGAAGTTTGGAAAATATGTGAAAACAAAATTAGTGGTATATATATTAATTAGTTAATTATATATTAATTAATCATATACTAACTTATATTAAACAAAACTGTATGAAAACTGTTCATTACAAAAATTAATGCAATATAATTTGATTATAAAATTAAAATTCATTTTTTTAATTCAGTTACAATGAAATGTTTAGATTCAGTTTAAGCAAATAAGTTTATTCTTCTACTGGTTTTTATGAGAAAAAAAACTATATAAAATATTTTTATTAAAATTCTAACAAAGATTTAAGAAAATTTTATTTTTAAAATTTCAACTCCAAAACTAAGAATGTACTGAAATTAAAATAATTTTTCAGATTCATTTTTCTCTGTAAGTATTTAAAAATTTAAAATGTTCCCCTTCAAAGTCAAATTAAAACATTAAAATGCTTTAATTTGCAAGTGATTGTCACTTGCAAGTTAAAACATTTTAGTGCTTAAATTAAAAGATAAAGATACAAATTCTATCTATTCAATGTGAAAGAATATTTTGAAATTTTTCCATTACTAATTCTTTAAGATGTTACAAATACACCTAAAAATTTTGGAATGCCTTGTAAATACTTTTATAAAGTTGTTTTCAATCTTCTTATAGCAAAGAAGTTTAAAGTAAATCTTGAAAAGCTGTAAATTTGATTTAAAAATTATAAAAGAAAAATTAAAAATATAACAATTTAGTTAACCCCCATTAAACTTTAGTGCATTTAACAAATAAATAAATACAGAAAACGTAGATACAATTTATAATTTGTCTTTACTTTTCAGAATGCTTGTGATGTAGATTTTCGTGTGAAGATTTAAATTCAGCTTCACCATTATTTACAAATGCCAGCCAAATTAAATTGAGATAAAAAAAAACAATGCACTATTTGAGTGGATACTTTTAAAGGGAACTTTGCACAATTTTGGTTATTTTCTGAGCAGTTCGTTTAGTTCAAAATGAACTATCACTTATCGTCCGTTTCATTGAACCATTTGAAAGAGTGGTAACTAAAGGGAGATAATTATGAACTCCCATTCTTGACTAGTAAACACTCTATGAGTTTCAATCTATTCTTTTCTTTTCTGCTGTTTTGTCCTTATTTATATTTTTCTGCTAACATGGCACAATTTCTGAAGTTGACCAAAAATACTTAAAATGAAATCTTTAAATTTACCAATCTAAAGCATATTTGTGCTTCAACTTTCTCCTAAAATTAGCCAAAATTTCAAATGGAGAAATCATTTGATGTGTCTCAGATGATTTTAATGTTTTGCATATAATATAAATATTCTAAGTGCTGTTTCTTTTTTTCTAAATTTTGAAATTTATTTATCTAAATACTTTTTTTAAAAAAAGCATTTGCTGCAAGCAACATTTATTATGAATTTAACTCATCAGCCTGTAAAAATGATCAACTGAATTAGAAATAAATTTTCACAGAATGTCATAAAATTCAAGGAGCATATAGAAGTTTTGCCAAATTTGAAACTTATGAAAATAATTGTATTGCTGAACATCAAGCTGACAAAGAATGGTCTAATCTCATCTTTTTTAAATAAGGATTTTGAAATCAGAGAACCATTATTGATCAGTAATATTTGAGAATCTCACCAAAGAACAAAAGCCTAATGGAGACATTTCTGAAAGTTTTAGAAAACAATCCTGTTGTTTCAAATTCAATAAAACATCAAGTAATATTTAAGTAATGTTCAATTTGATTAGAAAATAAAGAAGTTTGAATTAAACCTAATTTTTAAGATTTTCAACAAGAATTGCTATTGCAATTTGATGTGGAACTGTTATCATTTTGTTGTCTTTTCCCCCAAAAATTAAAATTAGTGGCAAGGAGAAAATTTCTCACTTTAATTTGGGTGGGTAATAAACAAGTGTCAAGATACTTTGACCCTCATAAAAATGATACAAATAGTGTGCTTACTAGAAAATTAGCAAAGATTGAAACAGCAAAAATTGTGTGAAAAATAAACAAAGATAAAAGATATGTACTGTGTGTGTTTTATTGGAGATACAACTGTTATTTTCACAGTGTGTATATATATATATATATATATATATATATATGTATGTATGTATGTATGTATGTATGTATGTGTGTGTGTTTGTTTTGATAGGAATTCATAAGATTATGTAAAAGAAAACTACATTTTTAAAGGATTTGGCAAGGACATCATCTCAGAAGCTTCCAATAGAAATGATTGACCTTTTAGGTAACTCACATCTCAATGATTTGCTTAGTTTTTTAATTCATCAAAAAGAACAAAATTCCCCAAAAATGTTTTTTCAAAGGGATAGGCTGTTTTTCATATATACACATTTTATATATATATATATATATATATATATATATATAAAAACACGTGCACAAAATTATATTTTAAATTTGTTTTGAGCATTTGAATTGTGCAGTCAGTTTCTGAGTATCTGCAATAGATAATCATACATATAATTTTTTATGCTTCTAACTTTCCATAGATACCACTGGGATTGGAGACTTGAGTTTTGTTGCATTTTGACATTGGTTTTCCATAGTTTATGCAAATATCACAACAGGCTGTTACATTTATAGTAACCATCATCAGTATAAATAGGTGGATATAGATAAAATATAAGTAAAAAGTGTAGAAGGATTTTCTACATTTAATATATAGGTTTAGGGACACAGTACATATACAGTATAAAGAAAGATATAGAAAATGATTTCATAAACCATATAGGCATGTTTATATATATATATATATATATATATATATATATATATATATACACACACACACACACACACATTTGCATGTGAGTATACAAAATAGGTAAGGAGGTATACTGTATGTATATAGGTAGATATAGCCGGTATAGTTTCAATATTTCCTTAGAAAGAATAAGATTATATATGTGTGTCTATCTATTTCTACATGTGTGTATATATATATATATATATATATATATATATATATATATATATAGGTACATGTGTATACACTTACACATATTTACATAGGTACATCTGTATGTGGATGAGTGCATATATATATATATATATATATATATATATATATATATATATATATATATATATATATATATATATTCACACATGCATTCATACACACACTATATATATATATATATATATATATATATATAATTATTATTAATTGAAGGTTCACACTGCATCTTTCACAATTTTGTGATTAATTGCGCACAGGAGAAAATTATCATCTTTTTAATTTTCTTTATATTTGAAATACCCATAAAAATGTGCATGGTACATTATCTGTCATGAGCACGTTCAGGTACCACATAAATAAGTAGAAGGTACTGAACTTATCAAAGAAAACTGTAAATAATAAAGACATTTTGTCTTTAATATTCTTTATAGAAATTATATTAATAGTGTTCACTTACTTCTCTTATGATTTGCATTCTCATCACATTCTTGATCAAATTTTTACAATTCTCATTTCATATTCTTATTTCAAATAACTTAAGTGTTTAATTATAATGAAATGAAATTTTATGTCATTCAGACAGATACATGATCCATTTTTTTTTAAAAATGTCTGTCTTGTTCTGTTTTTTCTGGAATATATTTCATTAGCAAGTACAGAAAAAACTGAAATGTAATCTTGAATAATATTATGTACAATTTTACTCATGATTACTATGTTGTATGAAACATTGAAATTAATTCTGTTAGAGTCTCACAGAAAAGAAAACTCCTCAACAAAACTACAAATAAAAACTGACAGACTGTGTTTGAAATGCTAAGAAATTTTCATACTGACATGTAGCTTAATATTTTCCAAATCAAAACATATTATTTCTGCAAACAGATACTTATTTATTTATATATAGATTTTATAATATTTCTATTTTTTTATAGATAAGTAACAAATACTTAAATAGTAGACATAGAAAAATTGAGAAAATTAAGCCAAATTTCAATGAAAAACAAAATATTTATAATCTTACCTACATGAATTACAAAAGAGATTCAACAAAATCTACTTACAGCTTAAAAGCCCATGTGTGTGTGCATGTATACATACATAATTTTGAATACATACATAAATGTACATTATCTAAATATATATAAATTCATGCATATATATTATTTATAAGTTATATATAAACTGCTAAAAGTTTTGTTTTTTTCTTCCTTCAGTTATAAATTGCATCCTAAAATTTTTATAACAGCTTTTACAAAAGCATTTTTGGTACCCTTATTTTAAAATAACTTATTTTGACTCTACAAAGCCTTGGATACATGTTATCAATAAAGTAAAAACAGGCTTCTCTTAGATTAATTTATAATCTTGCCAAAAAGAAAAGAAAAATATCTCTTTAAGGAAATTAAGAAATTTTCAAGTTATAACTGAAAAAACAAAACAAAAAAAGCATTGCTAATAACTACAATCACACATTCATCCTGATATTTGTTTGATTAATAGAAAAAAATCAATAAAAGAGAAGCAATAGTTTGATTTGAAATGCAAAGTTAATTATGAAATAGACATGTAAAAGGACAAATATTCATATAGTATTTAATTGGTTATTATTTTTTCATGTAATCTTTGGTGATTGAAATGTTATCAAACTGTTAAAAGCATTTCTGATCCCAAAACATATAAAAGTTGTTTTAGAACTTAATGTTAATTCATAATGGAGGATGAGATGCCAGAAATAATCTGCATACTGATATGTATCAGCTCATCATAAAAAGATGAAAGTAAATTTACAAAAGTCAGTATTTACTTTTTCACGTTGTTTTATATGAATAGCCATGAACAATTTAATTTTCCCCACTGAGAAGATCAAAGATGATGAGAACGCTAATCCAAGGAAATCGTGATTTTCGTCTTAACAGAGTATCGAAGTCACTTTGATAGGAACATTTTAAACATAGCTATCAATCTTAGACTGCACATGTCCAGAAAAATGAATGTAGTAAGAAGCTTTTGCCTTTTGCTCTGCTTGCAAAAACAATGAACGGAAACAATACAGGGGACGCAATCCATATCTGAGATTTAGCGAAGTTATCTAACTTTAGCAGCTTTTTTTAAAGGTTGATTGAATTTTATTCAAGTGATAGTTTAATATCTTCCTCAGCTTGTCTTAAAGGCAAGATTTTTTTTTTTAAAATTATACATTATATTTTTCTCATAAAATATTCTATGTATATTTTTCTTCAGAACAGCACACTCATCTGAAAATTGAAGCTCACAATCTTTCAATGCTCAATGTCATCATTTGTGAAGATATATGTTATATGCATGTGTATAAATATCTAAGTGTACGTTAGTTTGTGTGCACATGCACACACACACACACACACACATATATATATATATATTTATTACACAACTTTTTTTATTACTATTTGTTTTACACTTTTCTTTCTCATAAGATTTAACCACTTATTAGCTTTTTAGATATTGAAATTGTCAATATTCAAAATTAAAAATTATCTATTTATTCAAAATCGTCTATATTCAAAATTAAAAACATTTTCAAGAAAAGATTTTATGATTTTTTTTCTGCGCAATGCATCTATTCATAACAGTCTTTTTATTTTTGTTTTTTTTTAACCATGAAATATCTATTTAGGAGGCAACTTTAATTTTAGAGCATAAAACTGTAGTGCATATTATTTTATAGAACTAATTGATTGATTCTATTTCCATTACTCAACATTGGAAGATTGTTCCATTAAAGATTGAAAGATTGCAAGTTTTTTTTCCTCTCCTTAGTGTGCAGTTTGAATGTTGAACAAACCTCAAGAAATGTAAATTGTTTTGACATGTCAAGATTTGTACAGAAACAGCAACAAAATTGAAGGTCTAATTTTTTTTTTACTATCTGCAACTTTCATGCAGAAATTATATATTGCAGGAATCTAGTTGAGCAGTTTGCCATTATTTACATCAATCAGAAAAGCCTTTCATAGAAATTTTTTACAGACTTTTCTCTAAATACTCAACAGTTTTTACCACAGTAAATCAAATTTTATGAAAGTGCATCAGCACTCAATATAAATGCACTTCTAATATAAAACAAAAATTTAATCTTGACTTAAAAAAATATTTTCACAAAAAAAATGCTGAAATTTGGTGAAAATAAATTGAATGTAACCAGAAAAAGATAAATAAAAAAAATAAATAAGTGAAATTGTCCAAATATTTCTCCCACAACTTTTTTTGAAATATATTGTGACTTATCACAATGTATGGAGATTTTCGTTTTTAAATATCAAATAGTTTGTACTAGATTAATTTGTTGCTTATTTCTTTGGTGATGCAAAGCATAATATATATATATATATATATATATATATATATATTGTTACAAATATGGTGGCAAAAAAATTGTTTCAATTACTTTTTCCCCAAAAAACAAAAAATTTAAGAAAAATGATAATTTCCAGATATTTCAAACATTGCATAAAACCATCTACTGCATTCAAACTTATTTCTCTTTTGAAGCAATGCAGTCAAATGACATTTGTATAATTATTTTCTTCATTCTCTTTTTTCTAAATCAACAACAATTTTACAAAAACTTTAAGTACTATTACTTGATTTTTTTTTCTTTTAAAATTCATGTTATAAAAAATCAACAAATTTCTTTTATTCACTAACACATAAACTTGTTTTGTCTTGTTTTTTTTCACTTCTAATTGGTTTTTATTTTAATTTTTGTTCTCTTAATCCATTTCTCTCTTTCAGCATTTACCATCAGTCTCAAACTTATGACACACAAACTGTCAAACTGACACCACATAATTGGATAAGGGGTGACTGATGCTGACTAGATTTATTTAATGCTTACAATCTGTATGAATGTGTGAACAGATGACACAAAGTATGAAAAAGGTTTTGTTTTTCTCTTTACAATATGTTTGCATATATCTATGCATTCAGAATACTTTTGTAGACTGAAAAAAATGCAGAAAGTTTATGAAAGGACTCAAACCAACAAACTATTACATGGAGTTCAAATATTTGATTCCCACCACTAACTTCCTTTTTTTCTTACATATTCACTGTAGATATCAGGGAATGCATGTCTACAAACACTTGGAAGAAACCAATTATAGGATAATAATAACAAATGTTTCTAGATTTAGATGAATGTTGATGAAACCTGATTTATTTTTTTTTTTAAATTGACTAAGTTGATTAATCCCTAGTTTATAGAATGAAAAGATTTTTTGAATGTCTGATGTATTTGGAGATTTAAGATAAGCAGCTGTGATTTATATTTATGATGTAAGGACTATCATTATTTTAATCTATCATAGTAAGAAACTTACTGGCAGTTTACCCTGTTTCATTCCATGAATTATTTGATCTTGTATCTTCATTTTGTTGTATTGTTCTCAGTAGTCAAGTCAATGGTCTTTCTCAAGGTGTATTTTTTTATCTGGTAATCGTTGAGTGTCATCCAGTAAATATCTATTGATAAATCTCTCATAATCCTGCTAAAAACAAAATAGTGGAGAGCATTAAAGGATTACTGAATTGAAGAGACACTGTAATGCCTCAGACAAAGTTTTGGGGTCAAGAAAATTAATCTAAATACACCAGTCAGTATTGAATAATGACAAGACTTCACCTAAAACATGAGGTTTTAGCTTGGTGTTTTTGGTGTTATTTTTGTGTGCTTTTTATTAGTAATTTGAAAATTAAATTATTAAATTTCTTGAAAATATAATCAACAATTACATCAAGAATTAATTGTATGTTTAATATAATAACTATCCTGTACAAAACAAAAATATCAGAAGATAACTGTTTTTCAACCATAAAAATATAGTCTCATATTAACAGGACCATGGTTTAACAAAATAGAAGAATCTTCTAGAATGCATAAAAATAAAAAACAATTGGTCTAATGAAAAACATTAATTAATTTAATAAAGGTTTTTAACACCTATTTATAAACCTGTACCCAGCCCCCAAAATTTTCCAAAGTCATATGTTATTGTTATTTAGTAAGGCACACTATTCCTAACTGACATTAAATTAGACATGCTCATTTTCTGCCATGGCTTCTACTAGTGTCTGGTTTTTAACTGTCAGAAACTATTCAATTTTAACTGTCACATTAAAGTTATCATTTTTAATACTTTAATTATACTCAGTATTTTATCAATTACATTCTTTTCCTCTGTTGATAATTAGATAATTGGATTTATAGAGTTCAAACCATGTCACATTTGGTCACCTATTAGTTAGTATTTTAGCTGTTATATACTTTTAATGTATATGTCACTTCAGCTATCTTGTTAACCTTTCTATTTAATCTATAATCTATCAATTTGTTGATATCTCAATGGTTGCACATCAATAAAATGTTAATATGATCGTTGCCATTTTTGTCACATATGAATGATATTGTTGAAGTTCAAACTCCATCTAAATACCATCATCTCAACAACTAGATGTTACAATCACATTTCAAATATTATAGAGTAATTCTATCAAAGTGTCACCTGTCATATACTGATGCTAATAATACCAATATACCAACTATCACAAGACAGCCATATTATGGACATTTCAACTGTCACAGAATAATGTTGGCTTTAATATTGATATCATAAATATCACATACAAAAGATACTAATATCACATTTATTATATTAGTCATATAGGTTATGACTTTTCATGCAGCAGCCATATTGTTAATTTTATCACAAGATATCTCACCAGTTGTCAATATTCCAATATGCAAGTTCTAATGTTAATGTTTTATCTATCACAGATAATCCATTAATATCTTTTACTACATTTTGAATGATGCATCTAGAAGTCAATACAATGGTTATCATTAAACATGACAACTATCATTTTATATTAATATGTTAACTACACAGAATTTGTCATTCTATAGTAGATATATCACAAAACTTTAAAAATATTTTCTTCACTTGTTCATTTGTTAACATTTTCATTATTAATTACCACAATTATATCAAAATGTTTTAGTTATTTGTAAAGTATTTTGTTAATTTTTTTAACTGTTACATCTTAAACCTATCATCAACATTTCTTTTATTTAAAATGAAGGTGTACAATCTTTATGTGAAGATATTAAAGGTAGAAATATTTTAGATTATCCAGTAGCAGCATGTAAGAAGAATGTCAGTATCGGGTTAGTTCTACCTTTTAAATATCTGGTGGCTTTAACTGATTATTGAACTGGTTTTCCTCCTAAAAAGATTGGAATTTTCACAGCCCTAGCAATAATAACTAATAACTGACCACCAAATCAAAGTCTGTGAAAATTCAAAGAATTAGAAAAAGTATAATCAGCAGCAATATAAGTAAAAGTATGACCACCACAAGGATGACAATGAACATATTTTGGTAATTTGTCTGATGGAAAAAAAGAGGTAATTTTTATGTTTTTGATAAGAAAAATTACTTTTTGAATATTCTGTAGCTTTGCATATCTGCCTATAATTATTGTAAATTTGAATTATTTTTTTTTTTATTTTTAACAAATATGCTTTTCCTATTGTATTTATGGTTCTTCCTGTTGTTGAAAACAAACAAAACTCAACAGCAAAATATTATTTTTGTGTAAATAATGTGTCTTCTTCCTCTTTTCTTTTTCCTTTCTTTGCTTCTTTTCTTTAGTTCTTATTTAACAGAATTTTCATCAGTGTCATTATCTCTACCACCATTGCATTCCTTCTCCTCAGTGATAACAGTTTTCAACAAATATCTTGTTGATTCTTTTAAGCTGAGCATGACTTCTCGTTTCTGAAAAACAAAAAATGTATACAGGAATTAAGTTTTCCTGAAGACAATTGGTTAATATGATTATCTTTATCCATTCTCACTTATTAGTAGCAGCAAAAAGTTACATAGAGAAAAAAAAAAACAGTTACATTAAGACATAAATATATACATTAGTTATTTTGTTGTTTTGAACTATGGGAGAGATGATGCATTTTTGAAGCTCCAAAAAATAACAGATCTTAATTTTAACTGGGAACAAAACAAAACAATAGTGCTTAAAAAAGTAATATAATTATTTCTTTTCTTTCATTTATAATATTTTGATTATTATATCTAATTATATATTATATTTATATATTGATTTATTATTATTATTTCTTTCAACATTTTTCTTCTTTTTTTTTTTTTTATACAGTTCCCAATTTTTTCTTTATTAGTATTTGTTTTTGTATAACTATCTGAAAATTGTTTGTCTTATTTTTACTTTCTGGTTTTGCTTACCTAAAGTTATAATTATCAACTTTGTTCTTTCTACTTGCCTTTATTTTTTATCAGTTGATAGTTTAGGTGTCACAACTGTCAAAAAGACAGAATGGATTATTTTAATGTTATAAATAATGACTTCATAATCTCCGAATATTTCAGGCTTAAACCCCAAATTATATTTTTCTTTTTCTTCCTGATACCTTTTTCTAGTTTCAAACATTTCAATCTTTATGTACAATTATTTTGTAATTTGACATGCTTTCTCACGTTTTTGTTTAAAAAAAGAAGAAAATTAATGTTAATTTTTGGAGAGATTCTAAAAATTGTAATGTATATAATGTTCATATATGTATGTTATGTTCCAAAGATTATCATATATGGGAGTGGTTGAACTCCCACTGTCGATAAAATGCTCCTATGGCATGTTCTTTAAATAGTCTGACAACTAATTCCATCTCCAAACTAAAGGAGCATTTTATCGACAGTGGGAGTACAAGATATCTGGCACCTCATAACCAAATGTTTTGAGTAGATGGAGCTTGTCAGCTCGGAAAGGCAGTTAATCTAAGGGAAGGAAAATCCTAATTTTAAACCTCCACTGCCTTACAGACATATCCAAACATGGAAAAGGATATGGAAGTAAATCCAAACAGAAAATGCAGAGTCAAGCCTGAAGGCATTTGGCTGTCAACATTGACAACCTTCCAGCAACTCCTGTATCCACTTTGAAATTTACTGTAATCATTACCCATTTGTTTTGTTTGGTTGTCTACTGAAGGGTTTAACAAGTTTATCTCACAGACCATTTAGCTAGAAAATAGTGAGTTCTGCTCTCATAGGTGCTCTTCTATTTGGCCTTTTACCAGATATTAATCTTGGCTAAGTAAATTTGTATATATATTGATGCTTTTTTCTGAAGATTTCTGTTAAACTTCCTATTTGATTTCTCTCAATCCTAACTATTTTTTACTTACAAATGGATTGGGGTTATTCAAATCAACCAATCATTACAGGTGACTCTCTCAGAAAAATCTGAAAATTCACAGGTTTTCCTTGATAAAATTTATTGATTAATCCAAAATATTAGATCTATATCTGTAATAGTTTTAAAATCAGAGCATCTTCAAATTTCACATTTTTTGCATTTAACTAAAAGCTTTTAATGAACTCCAAGGATATTGTATGTGCAGATGTGAAACATGGTGACAATAATTAATGTTAACTGTAGATTACAAAACTATAAACAACTTTACCTGTCTTATACTCTTTTGCTTTTATAAGGATCTGAACACAGCCAAAATGCCAAAAAGTTTTCCTGTCATTTACAACCTAAAAAATTATTTAGTTGGGTTGACCAGAAGTTGCTATCTCAAAGTCAGGAATTGAATGACAAAAATCAGACATTTACGCATAGGCTCTGAGTGGTACTTCCAGCAGTATTTTAAAATATTTGAAAATAAAATTCATATTATTATTCGACCACTGACAGCATTTCCCTCGCATTTTTGAAGGGCTTCCTTGTGAGCCAGCACCTGCTAACTGGAAACTATAAATACAAAACATAAAAAAAGGAAACTCAGTTGGAGAAGGGATTCTGCATTGTGAACTCAGATGAATCACTCATCAACTGAATCAATATTTCCCACTTTGCTAACATAGATTCTGCAACAAAGTTAAGTGCAAACTTTTCCCTTTTTCTCAAGGGTTTTATTAAACACACCACCTGATGTAGAAAGCATCCAAATAAATTATTTGTTATTAAAAAAATCTTTATCTTGAGTTTAATTTAAAATTCACTTGTTTAATTTTAAAGCATTGCATAAGCATTACTGTGCATAAAAATTATTCTAAAAATTATTTATGTCTTATTACAGACAGCACTCAGAATAACTTGTAATTACAGCTACCTAAATTATGTTGTGCACCAACAATATGTCACAACTCCTCCAAGAATTTCTATGTAGTAAACAGATTCATTCCTGTGATAGGAATGTAAGTATTACGGTTTGAAAATTGCTGGATTTTTTTAACATTTTTAAAATTGCCTATTATTATAGACCAATTAGTTTAAGAAATTTTTTTAATATTTTTACCACATATTCTTACATGTGTGAAGATTATGCGAAAGAAGTTTTGTTATGGGGACAAATTTCTATCTAGGCTTAAAGCATTTTTCATGAACAGCTTGTCATGCCAAAATCATGGTTTTGTCAATTTTGACACATTATAAATTTGATTCTTAAGAAAATATGAGGCTATAAATTGATGCACGCATAAATTCCTATGCAAATAAACTAGTTTGGGCTAAATTTTACCTTTGTTATAAATAGTTTAGATGCAATGAAATTTGTTTATCTTGTTGGAAAAACCTGTGAGATGATTCAAAAGCTAATACTTGACAAAGTACAACTGTAGATTCAAAAGTTTTTCAACGTTTTTCTGAACTTAAAGAAATTTTGAATATCACCACTAAACTCTAAATTGTTCACCAATCAAATAGGTAAGCCCTGAAAACAGGGTGGCTTAACTTGAACACATATTTATTTCCTTTAAAAATATCCTTCATATGATTTTTGCTGATCTATGCATATTTTTGAGTGTCAATAAAATTGCTTAACATGAACAAATTATGGTGTATTTTCACGATTTTGACTTGATGTATTTAAAATTAAAGTAATCTAGTGGGATCCTTATTTTAATGTCTTTGGTTTAGTTTTTTTTTATTCTGTTAAAATTTTTTAGATCACCTAAAAACCCATTTTTAAGAGCCCATAGCATATATGAACACCAGGGAATTTTCTTTGATTTTTTTTAAGACGGTCACCTGTAGTCTTTCTGTTAGATAGAATATCATTTTTATGTTTTCCAGAGATACTTACAATATCATCCAGCATAAATATTCTGCCTTCTACGGTTGGGGCAAGGTGGCTGAGTTCATTTTCCAGTTCATGGATGGATTCCTGCCGCACCAAATGGCGCGGCTTCGCCTGCATTGCTTCTTCACTGCGTTTACTGTTTATTAGACTCTTTTTCCTAAAGACAATGGAAAAGAAACGGTTTAAGCAGTTTATTTGAGTATTTTTACTCAATTGGAGCAAGCCAATTGGCTGTTACACCCAATTATCTACAAGAAAATTCAATTTGTTTGACAAAAAATAATAAAAAAGTTAATGTGCTGGATTTAGGATTTGACTGTCATTGTTAATTAAATCAAATAGTATTTACATCTTAATGCATAGTGCAGTTTTACAACAGTTCAACAGCATTGAGTATAAGTTTTAGTTATTTTCTACTTATCTAGATACTTGCTCATGCATTTAAATATATGTTGCAATATTTATGAAAACATGACAAGCTATAAAATCAAATACTGAGTGTATTGCAAATTTTACATGTATATGAATGTACAGACAGCAAATTTTAAAAGATTAATCAAAAGATTATTTTTCAGGGAGAAAAATTGTTAAGAATTTGAATGATCCAAAAACAATGATGTTTAAGATAAGTTGTCAACATTCAAAAACAATGATGTTTATGATAAGTTATCAACATTCAAAACTTTTGATGTCATTTAATGCAAGGTTTTACTTTGAATCTAATATTTTAAAAAATTGATCTGTGGCAAATGTCTGTCAGTACAAATGCAAAAGAGGCCTCGGTTTGCATGTGGACATGTTTGTCAATACTAGTTACATCTGGATTTTTCCTGTTAGCAGTGGGACAATTTGGTATGGCTAGATATGGGCCTCTCTGCAACTGGACAAGAACTGGGTCTTTGTAAGATGTCTCATGTCAATAAAAGCAGATGGAAAACCAGTAATCAGCAGTTGGCAAGACACAGTGATTTGTGACGTTGGTCCCATGGGCATTTTTTGTTTTTCAAATGGTTTCCGAGACAGTGCCATTTATGTCACCTTTTGTCTCTTCCCCATCTCTGCCTATTACCCCCATAGTTGCTGGGAGAGCAAATCAGTTAGTTGTTTCCCACCAATCTTAACACACTCATTGCTTACATTACAACATCATCATAGACTCAAAGTAAAAGCTTGATTCAGACTTGGTTATATTCACATAATCTGCATACTTGCCTGCTTCAAATACTGCTAGAAATCTTTTTTCATGAAGAAAAATATATAGTTCACTAAGGCCTACTATAAGAGATGATGGTGATGGTGGTGACTTCTCCTCCTCTTATTTTTACTTGGAGTTATATTTATTACTCATCTAATAAAGTGATTGATCATTTAATTGAACATCTTGATATAATTAATAATAATAGCAAAGAATGTTCAAGCAACAAAAACTAAATCATGTCTCACAGATCACCAAAAATACAAGTAGGAATAAATTAAAAAAAATAATAATAATTTATCCAGATTTGAGATTTCAACAATTTAATAAAAGGGAAAGTATGTTTGAAAACTGAAGAAAATGTAGAATTGATAATTGAAATTGGAATTTAGTATGATTTTTACCTGGCAAGTCCAATGATTGACTGGCGATGTCCTGATCGACATGACTTTGTACCCTGGATGACCTGTACTGATTCAAAATGGTTACGGACAGCAGTAGATAAAACTGGACCTTTTTCTTCATCCACCTGAAATTGAAAAACCTTGGTTTGCCTTATATAACAAGTGAGTCTTTTTTATCCACAATTATAAAATCATAGATATAACAGCATGATCCCCCCACCCACACACACACCAAAGAGGCTTGAATCATTGAATTAAGTGAGAAATGATGCAAGAAAACCTATTGATTCATTATGAATGAAGAGTGGGATAAATTGCCAAAAAAATCTAATTAAAAACATTAATTAGTTGCAATAAATGAAATTGGCTGAGAATAGATGGAAGGCCATGGCAAGGTTTGAAATAGTGAATAACTTAAAATATATTAAACCATTCACAACCTTGCTTACTTCATCCCTATATCTACCTAAGAATGCTGGTATAGAATAAATGAGCCTGGATGAATGACTTCAACCTTGAATTTATCTGAGAACCAAAAGGCATATCACATAAATACTATCACAAATTTTCCTTTTGGAAAAAATTTACCAGAACTACCATGTATTTTGCTGACATCCAAACATTTCTCATAAGTAAATAAAAAGGGTGAGTGATAGGCAGTTTTGGACTGGGTGTCATCAGTGTCTGACTATATCAATATCTCCATCTGTGGTCACACTATCAATTTCTGGACGAACTGAAATACTTGTAATAAACACACACATGCACACAGAGTATTTGCCAAGAAAATATTGAATGAACAAAGGGTGACACAATTTCTCATTTCTTACTCTCATGTTCCAGATTAAGGGCCTGAAATATTAGAACTTTTACAGACGAGGCTTACTAATATTTTCAGTGCATTTGCAATCCACCAATGTAGATACCATAAATAAAACTGTTGTTGCAAATTCATTGTAAAATACAATGTTTTTTTTTCTTTTTGTGTATGTGTGATACTTGCTTGACTTTCTGCCCCGCTCTCAAATTTGTCATTGGAATCTTCCTCGGATGCACCAAAGCCATGGTGCGGGCGTAGATCCTTAATGTGGCAGGGTATTCCGTCCACCAGAAATGACTGCGGGCTGATCATTTTCGTCACCCGATCCCTGTTGAACTTGGTGGTGCATTGACTTATTGGCGACTTGACCCACTCTGACCTGATGAGCCGTGCCCGGGGTCTGAAGGCATCATTGGGGTGTCAACCCCTTTCACCCTCAGTTCGTATCAGTGGATCCTGTTGGTGGGCGCAGTCTGGGGTGATGCACTGTCTTTTGGTGTGACATTGTACTAGTAGATGGCTTCCTGGAGGGAACAGTGCATCCTTGCCACGATTCATTTTACTGTGCGGTGGTATTGCTCTGCTATACTGTTCCCAGCTGGGGCATATGCACAGCGGAACCACAAGTTGACTCCCCATTCGTGCACAAAGGCTCTGAATTCTCTGCTGCAGAAAGCTGGGTTGTTGACCGTGAGTAGCTCGTGGGGTGGGCCCCACTCGAGAAACACTGCTTTCAGCTGGCAAATCATGGCCGCCGAGTCCTGTCCCACCAACTACTTCCAGAAAAATGCGATGGGCTGCAGTCTGTCAGTGTTAAGAAATGATGGGCACCATAGTGGGTGATATCCATCCACAGTCTCTGCCAGTTTCTGCTTACCTCAAGTTTTCCTTTTTGCCAGTGAGTTGGTGCAGAGTCTATAGACTGACTTTCTTCACACGTCCGTATAGCTGATCTAATGGCTGCATTTGTCGTTGACGGGCAGACTCTCCTGGCGAAGTAGGTAGTGTGCCACACTCCTGGGTGACCACTGTTCCTGTGGATGGACATGATTTGGTCTGCATCCAGTTCATCCACATGGGTGGCACCAATCAGTTGCACGGGTCCATTGCTTCTCTTCATTGCGTCAAACCATCGCTGCAGTACCCTCGTCAGCCAATCAGCCACGTTCCAAGCCGATGGAACCAGTGTCACATCCACGTTTAGCTGATACTCTTCCACGAGCTCCTTGAGAGTGTTTTGCTGCCTCCTCCTGATGAACATTTCGTTTGCCGCCTTGGTGTGCATACACGCTCTCCCAGTCAGAGTATCCAATACCCAGTGGTACACGCAAATGGAATCTGTTTTTATGTGTAGCGTCTTGCTCTGCCACTGGAGTGCTAGATTGACGCCTTTCAACACAGCATCCACCTCGGCCAGATTGATGTGTTGATCGTTGTCTTTAGGTTGCAGCCAGCAAGCATCCTCCAGCACTGTTTCATGGCTCTCTAATGCCACTCCGGTCGCCAGAGAACTTGCATCAACACACACGTTCAGCTCCCAGCCATCCACACACCACTCCCCACAGACCGGATCGTCCCACTGCACAGAATCCACGGTCTCAGACACCATGCGCTGGAGGAGGGCATCTTTTGTTTCATCATCCCAGCCCCTCGTAACTGAACTTGCTCTCCTCTTGAGCATTCCACATGCCACACAGAGCCAACCACACAATGGGAGGTGCCCAACAAGCCTTCCACACAGAGAGAACACCTTCTGTCACATAACGACACCAGGGGCGTTAGGAACCACGCTTCCTCGTCTCCACTGCAATCTTCCTTGTTCCATCGCAACCACCAATCCTAGTACCCGTGCGCCATCCTCCAGCCATTCTGGGTCCTTGCATTCCAACTCAAACTGGGCCAGATGTTCTTTAACGTGGGTCGCAGGAACGACATCTTCATTGATATAGATGTCGTCAATGTAGGAAGATGTCGTGCGACCCACAGTTTCTTCCTGAGCCAGCACCGTGCTAATGATCGCCTTCATGACGAGGGGAGCCACGTTTAATCTGAATCCTAAACGTGTCAGGCAATATCTTTTTCCGTCAATTTTCACGGTCTGGTATGGCCAGAGTGACTCGTGGACACATATTTGGAGGTACGCTCTCCTGAGATCCAATAAGGACACATTGGATCCCTTCTGCAGTTTAGCTGCACAGACGTCTGCATCAGCTGTGAAAGCGTCAATGTGATGGTTGAGCTCCCGGAAGTCCATCACTGGAGGTACTTTAGACTTGTTCTGCTGTAATACAGCCATCAGGGTATTAGCCTTTCTTCTGGGTATGGCACGAGCCAGCCATTGTTAATCCACATGCGGAGCTCCTGCTCATAGCCCTCCCTGATCTCTGCTGTTACTGGGTACTCAGAAATCCCATTGTGCAGTCCTTCAGGTGCGCAGTTCTCTGACCACTTCCATGCCACAGTCCAGGATCGCCTCCGATGGTCGAAGGTGGCAGTGAAGTCAGGTTCGTCCACAGTAATGGCTGCACACTTAGCTGCTCACCCATTACCAATCTGTACTCATCCCGTTGCTCAACAGCAACGCCTCCCAATGCTGTTACGGCATCAATCCCTAATAGCAGGTCAAATCCCAGTGGTTTACCATGCACCACCAACACGTTGATCTTGGCAGAACCGCCTTCCTTCGTGGATACAGTTACCACTCCTACACCACAACATGGATGGGACATGCCTCCAATAGTCATGATGTTCACCATCACTCTCTTCCAAGACTGGCACCGATCTGCATCCACAATCGTCCATGAACAGCCAGTATCAATCAGTGCTGAACACCAAGTTTCGTCAACAAGGATGTTTGCCACCGAGAGTGCCGTATTTACATCTTGGTTGGGGAAAGGGCTGGTGCTGATGCATTGTCCCCTGTAGTGTTTCCTGAACAGTCTCGGGCCCAGTGTCCAACCTCCCCACATCGATAGCAGCATGTTCTGTGCTTCCAGCAGTCTTTTGCTATGTGGCCTTTGCAGCTGCACCTGAAGCATGTCACACTGGTGAGTGGGCCACTCTTGGTGGAAGACGCGCCGTCACTACGGGGTGAGTGCACAGCCGCAACTACATCCTGACTTTCATCTCCAGTTGCTGTCAGCACTCTTGCTCTTGCTAATAACTCCCCTACAGTCAGAGCTTCAACATTCAGTGCCTGTCGGAGACCAAGGGAGATCGTATCAGGGAACCCCATGACGAAGGCTAGTTTGGTGAGCTTTTCTATCTTGGCTCCCTCGAATCTGGCCAATCCAACAAGCTGCCTGATTTTGTTCGCGTAGACGTCCACATGTTTGCCGGTCCACCTGACCATGCTCAGCTTTCTGTATACTGAAAATGCGTCGTCCGTAAAGGCCTGCTTCAGCCTGGCATCAATCTGATCAATATCTCTCTGATCTTCCTCCTCCATTTCCATGTAGAGGGCTAGTGCATTCCTCTCCAGGTGCAATGGTAGAAGGCTAGCCACATCATCCACCTGCTGAAGTCTTCCCAACAGCCTAACCTTTTTTAGCCATGCCACCACATTGCCCTGGCCAGAAAACGGTTTTATAACGTCACTGCTTATGCGAACCTTCGCCATAACTGCCAAAATAGCTTGTAGTAAACAAAAAGAAGAAACTTATGAGAGAGGGGTCAGAAAGTGCAGTGCGCTGTTCACCAGCAGACCAGCTATTCTTCCTTCATCGTCATCACCTCAAGGAAATGGATTGCGAGACTCCTTTTCTCGGCCATTACACCGGGCAGTCGTGAAACAGACTCCAACTCAGCCGCACATACTTCGACTTCCTCTTTGTCCGTCTGTCAATTTGTACGTCCAACTTTATTGCACGGAGTTTGCCGAATGACTCCCGACTTGATTCGTGCCGCTGGAACCTCACTTTTTATGCCAGTCTGATATGGCTGAAATTTGCATGTGTGCAAATATTGCCTCATTTTGGACAAGATCGGCGTGCATAAATTGTGTCTTCGATGGCAGCCATATTTCTTTTTGTCATTACTTTGCAGGCAAGACACGTTCGCACTCATTTTGAACTCTGAGGTAAGTCATGTCTTTCGTCACAAATAATAATTGTTTTTTTTATTTATGTACTAACAGCCATTTTCTATGATTTTTTTCCTCAAAGGAAAATTCAGTCAATCAGAAGCAGTCATTTTGAACTTAACATTACAAAAACTCACTGTAGAAAAGGACATAACCCTCAACTAAAACATAATTATCACAAACTTCAACAAACTAAAATTAAATTGCAAATCTAAAACCAATTGGATTGATTAAAAAAGAAATCAAGTACTCACCACCACTTCACATTCTTTGAATACATCATAACCATCTTTACCATTGGCAAGATAGGCTTTTGTACATAATAGATATGACTAGAAAAATAGAGAGAAAAACATTTTAGAGAAAAATACCTGAAATGAATGGAAAATTAAAAATTTTGAAAGTTAAAAATTTTCAATAAAAATAGAAACTGTCTTAAATCTTATTTTCTTTTTCTTCTTGCCATTGCCAATTTTCACAATTAATACAACTACTTCTTTTGTAATTATTCTATTATTTTCTATTCAACACCATTTTGACAATTTGAAAATGTTTACTGGGACCAACACTGGACACCTGCCACAGAGCAGGTTAGTCAGACAGACAGTATTACTAAGTTGGATTCTATATGGGTGCCTTACTATTGTTTTACTAACCAAGATTAGTAAATATCTATATGGAATACTAGCCTTAAAGTTATGATTAGCAAATCCTTCCTTGCTACTTGATTATTATTGCCCCCTGTGTTAGACAAAAAGCTTAGTGTGACAATTAATTTTTGGTAGACAATAGCAAAAAAAAATTGTTTTCAAGCCAAACATACAAAATAATCTCTTTGTTGAATGCTATAAAAAAGTAAAATATAATAAAACTAACTCAACTCATGGTAATATCATCAAAATCAGCACAACATTGCATATTTCTACAATTAATGACAGAATAAGGTGATTATTATATGCATTTATTGAATGTAAATTGACACAGAGAAAAAGAATGCTGTTATCAAATCCAGTTCTTTTGGCAAAGGATAGCAGAATCAATTATTTAGCTATAGAAAGATAGAGACAAATAGACAGAGCTGGATGGATATGAACAGAGCGTGATAGATAGATAGATAGATAGATAGATAGATAGATAGATAGATAGATAGATAGATATGAACAGACCGTGATGGATAGATATGAACAGACCGTGATGGATAGATAGATAGATAGATAATGAACAGACCGTGATAGATAGACAGATAATGAACAGACCGTGATAGATATGAACAGACTGTGATAGATAGATAGATAGATAGATAGATAGATATGAACAGACTGTAATAGATAGATAGATAGATATGAACAGACTGTGATAGATAGATAGATAGATAGATAGATATGGACAGACTGTGATAGATAGATAGATATGAACAGACTGTGATAGATAGATAGATATGAACAGACTGTGATAGATAGATAGATAGATATGAACAGACTGTGATAGATAGATAGATAGATATGAACAGACTGTGATAGATAGATAGATAGATATGAACAGACTGTGATAGATAGATAGATAGATATGATAGACTGTGATAGATAGATGAATAGATGATATGAACAGACTGTGATAGATAGATAGATGGATGATATGAACAGACTGTGATAGATAGATAGATAGATGAATAGATATGAACAGACTGTGATAGATAGATAGATAGATAGATATGAACAGACTGTGATAGATAGATAGATAGATATGAACAGACTGTGATAGATAGATAGATAGATAGATAGATATGAACAGACTGTGATAGATAGATAGATAGATAGATAGATATGAACAGACTGTGATAGATAGATAGATAGATAGATATGAACAGACTGTGATAGATAGATAGATAGATAGATAGATAGATATGAACAGACTGTGATAGATAGATAGATAGATATGAACAGACTGTGATAGATAGATAGATAGATAGATAGATATGAACAGACTGTGATATAGATAGATGATAGAATAGATATGAACAGACTGTGATAGATAGATAGATAGATGAATATGAACAGACTGTGATAGATAGATATGAACAGACTGATAGATAGATAGATATGAACAGACTGTGATAGATTGATAGATATGAACAGACTGTGATAGATAGATGATATGAACAGACTGTGATAGATTGATAGATATGAACAGACTGTGATAGATAGATAGATATGAACAGACTGTGATAGATAGATATAACAGACTGTGATATAGACAGATATGAACAGACTGTGATAGATAGATGAATATCACAGACTGTAGATAGATTCATCTATCTATGAATCACTGTGATATATTCATATCAGACATCTGATCACAGATCTGTCTACATGTGATAGATCTATAGATATGAATCACTGTGATGATTCATGACATCTATCTAGACTATGATATCACAGTCTATCTATTCATCTATCATGATCTATCACAGTCTGTTCACATCATTCATTCATCTATCTATCACAGTCTGTTCATATCTATATATCATCTATCACAGTCTGTTCACATTATCTATCTATCACAGTCTGTTCATCTATCTATCTATCACAGTCTGTTCATATCTATCATCTATCTATCACAGTCTGTTCATATCTATCTATCTATCTATCACAGTCTGTTCATATCTATCTATCTATCTATCACAGTCTGTTCATATCTATCTATCTATCTATCACAGTCTGTTCATATCTATCTATCTATCTATCTATCACAGTCTGTTCATATCTATCTATCTATCTATCACAGTCTGTTCATATCTATCTATCTATCTATCACAGTCTGTTCATATCTATCTATCTATCTATCACAGTCTGTTCATATCTATCTATCTATCACAGTCTGTTCATATCTATCTATCTATCACAGTCTGTTCATATCTATCTATCTATCACAGTCTGTTCATATCTATCTATCTATCTATCACAGTCTGTTCATATCTATCTATCTATCTATCACAGTCTGTTCATATCTATCTATCTATCTATCGCAGTCTGTTCATATCTATCTATCACAGTCTGTTCATATCTATCTATCACAGTCTGTTCATATCTATCTATCACAGTCTGTTCATATCTATCTATCACAGTCTGTTCATATCTATCTATCACAGTCTGTTCATATCTATCTATCACAGTCTGTTCATATCTATCTATCTATCTATCACAGTCTGTTCATATCTATCTATCTATCTATCTATCTATCTATCACAGTCTGTTCATATCTATCTATCTATCTATCTATCACAGTCTGTTCATATCTATCTATCTATCTATCTATCACAGTCTGTTCATATCTATCTATCTATCACAGTCTGTTCATATCTATCTATCACAGTCTGTTCATATCTATCTATCTATCTATCTATCACAGTCTGTTCATATCTATCTATCTATCTATCTATCACAGTCTGTTCATATCTATCTATCTATCACAGTCTGTTCATATCTATCTATCTATCACAGTCTGTTCATATCTATCTATCTATCTATCACAGTCTGTTCATATCTATCTATCTATCACAGTCTGTTCATATCTATCTATCTATCTATCTATAGATATGAACAGACTGTGATAGATAGATATGAACAGACTGTGATAGATAGATATGAACAGACTGTGATAGATAGATATGAACAGACTGTGATAGATAGATATGAACAGACTGTGATAGATAGATAGATAGATAGATAGATAGATAGATAGATATAATTCCATGAGTTTGCCCTGATTTTTTATAAGAATACATTTGTACTTTTAAGTTAATCCCGTTTCTTGTTGTATCCAAAGCTACAAACATTTGGTCATGACTGAAGACAGGCTGCAGTAAGAATGAACATTCAAAACATCCTCTTCACAGTATATAAAAAATATTATTGAATTTTATTCTTATTCAAAGAAATTAACTCTTTGCTAAAACAAATAACCAAAGTGCTGATAGATTTTAAACCTTAAAGCTACAACTGTTTTCTTAAAAGGCAATAAAATATTTAAATGAGTCTAACAGATAATTATTTCTAAATAATTTGTGACTAATTCAATTACTGTCATAAAAACGTCTTAGTATTTCCAAGTTCATCTTTCTATATTCAAACAGCAGAACAATGGCTTAATGGGTTTATCATTTGCTTGTTCACCTACATGTCAAACATTCAAATCAGGAGTCACTTCATTTTAGCAAGACACAAGCTTTTATTTATATAATGGGAAAAAGTGTAATGGTTCTACATACAAAAAATAGTATAGATATGAATAATTCACTTGAGAATAATAATTTTAATGATAATTACAATTATAAAGTCAAAATTATATTGATCACTGTGATCACACATATTAATGTCAGTCAATACAATAAAACCAAAAATATTTTAAATAAACAATTTATCATGGTGATCATTTCAATCATTAATCAACAATGAACAAGACATAAATAATAAGAATAATAAATAATTTTCATAAAAATCTTTTATAAGCAAATGAATATCAAAATTCCTAAATAAATATTTTATCCTGAAAAGTCAACATTTCAAAATAAAAATTAAGTAAACAAAAACTATATAAACTTTTTTTTAATGTCATTCTTTTCAAAGTATTCACCTACTGTTGTAAAAATAAAATAATGCAACAAACAATGATGAAAAGAACAGTAGACAATTTTAAAATTATATTACTAAAAAGTGCAACCCACCTTTTTCAGATCTAAGTATTCATCCTGGACTTTAACTAAACCAGCTTCAACCCTCTGGCCGGGGGGTTTGCTGGGATCAAATCCAAAAATGATTCCTGATACTTGACTGAACCGTCCTTCAAGTTTTGGATATTGTGAAACACTGTTCTCCAAAGCTTCCATCAACTGAGCACCTAAAATAGACAAAAGAAAAAAGAAGACAAAAAAAAAATAAAAAAAGGAGAGTTCTTCAATTTTTGGGAAGTGCAAAGAGGAAACAGTGAAATGAAGATTATAAAAAATTAAATCCCCAATAGCAGAAATGCATTAATTGCCTTTGCAACAGAAATAATAATTAACAATAAAAAAAAATAATCTCAATTATTTAATCAAGGTTATACACAGTAGTGAGAAGAGCTCAACAATGAATATTAAAAAACTGCATCACATACAAGTATATGTATGTGTGTGTGTGTGTATAAATGCACACAGATATATGTGTGTGTGTATGTGCGTGGCGTGTACATAGATTACAAACATGCACATATGTATATGTACACACTCACACACATATATATATGCCTACGCATACATATACTAAAGCTTATATCTATGTATAGATATGTATATAAACACCATTCAATATTCCAATAGCTTTTAGGTATTCCTAATTTGAGTTGGTTTTGGCAATAAATCCATTGTTCACAGCAGAATTCTGGCATCATTCCCAAAATGGATGAAAATGTGTTAATGACTAAACTGTGATCGAGTTATTCAGTTTAGCTGAGTAAAACAAAAGACATGATAGCAGACTGTAGGAGAGGAACAGGAATTACAGAATATTATCATTGAATAAATCATTCCAGTTTTACAGGTTTAGCTCAGTAGTAGAATACAGAAAAATAAGCAATGAGGTTTCATCATCAGAGCTGTGTTCATTGGAGGAAATTTATAGCACATCAACGTGAAAGTAATAGACATATATACAGGTTTGTTTATGTATATACATATAACAAAGTGGAAAAAGTTTTTGTGTGACGTGTTTCATCTTTTAGGAATTCATTTGTTATATTGGTGCAACTACACATCGATCACACAGAAATACATACATTTTTCGCCATTATTGTTCTTGATATATAAATATCATTATCACACACACATTATATATATATATATATATATATATATATATATATATATATATATATAGAGAGAGAGAGAGAGAGAGAGAGATGTGGATGTATATATATGGTGCAGGTAAATCCATAACTCGGCATCAGCTCTTCTTTTATACCTGACAAAATTATGGGAATCCAGTGAAAATTATTACAACCACTAAACTAATTTACATAGCATGTACAGATGTCAATAGTGATCTCTTAATTTTGTATTAAACCATTGCAATGACCTCTGAAAGAGATGCAAGAAGCAATGGTAGGATAAAGTATAAACATATCTATCTTGACCAAAAGAAGATCAAGCCGCCAACAGTACAATAATCAATGTACAAACTCTTTGACATCAGACTGAAAAAGCCTAGGAAAAAAATGTTCAAATTCTAATGAAGCAATTATTCCAAAAAGAAAGAACTCAGGATAAAAAGAGTAAAATTACTGAGCAAAATGTTAAATTGTAATTGTCTTCTCTCCATTTCTCTGATAAAACCATTTGGCAAGACTTTGCCCCACAGACAGTGGAAAATCAATGCTCTGTGTGTGTGTGTGTGTGTGTGTGCACATGTGCGTGTGTGTGTGTGTGTGTGTGTGCATGCAAACACACACACACACACATTGATGCATAACTCTATGAATAGTTTATGAAATGAAAATAAAACAAACAATTTTTAGAAATAGTATTGACAATGTTCATGCAAAAATACATCTGCTGAGCAAGTTTAAACCTCTTGGATGGAGATGTTAAGCAAGCAGGTTAAAGGTTATAGCAAAGATGAACCTGGCTTTTTTTTCTTCATCTTTACTTTTTTTCTTCATCTTTGCTTTTGTTAATCAGTTAATGAATTCCTTGCCTTTTGCAGAAGTGGCAGTCAAAATCCATCCCATTGATTGCTTCAAAGAGTTACAAGTAAACAAACATACTAACTGAATAAATAGGAATCTGGAGTTATGTGCCCTTGTTTAACAGTTCTGTCAACAGAGGTATAATGTAATATTTGTTAATAATTTATAGCAAAAAACACATGCTACAATTCAAAATTATAGATAGCTGAAAAAGATTAACTTATAAAGGGGTGTTGAAATGTACTTGCCAAAAGTATCTTTGAAAATCTGACCAAATACTTTCAAAGAGCTTCTTAGTTGGGCTGAGAAATTTCAGACGCCCTCATGTTTATACTGTAGTCAGAAAGATAAGTTATATGTAAATAAATATAAGGGAAATATATCTTTATATCAATTAATTATTTGTGTAGTTATTATATATATCAGAATCTAAATTTCATGATGACTGTCAGTTTGAAACTTCAATGAGATCTTCAGGCCTAGTCTTGGCTCAAGTGGATCTAAAAATGAAACTTTTTGTCTCACTCTTGACATTTATGTTCTTCTGATATCAAGACTTATACTCTGCCATAATTAGATCTCTTTCTGACTCACTCTACATGTCAGTCAGATGCGAGGGCTAAGAAAGCAAAACACAAAATAAAAAAGTTGTTGTGCAGGAGCTCTGAGCATCACATCAGGTTCACAAAATAAATCCTCACAATAGCCAATCATCAACATTCCCATCAGAAAAAAAGAATCCCTGGGGACCATGAGATTTGCTTAAAAGAAAGCCCCTCTTAACAACTGATACAGTTGCAGGTCAAAAGCCACCTCTTGGCATGTAGCATGTTGTCACCATCACTGCCATGATTGCTTCTCTCATCACAATCATGGCTTTGCCCAAGCTTCACTAGTCTCACCTGACTCTTCTTCATATGCAGAATGCAGCCACTAGGCCAGCTTTGACACCACAGGGTTACTGATGCCACCATAATTTCTAACACTTCAATGTGTTCACTCCAGGTTTCCCTTATCATCACCATGAGCCCATCTCATTGATACCACTTTCAATCAGAATCCAACAGATATTCTGCTTGATTAACTGTCACTATCTATTCCAAGCCTCCCTCATTGTTACCACCATGACCCTGTTTGTTGATCTCTGACTTGACCAGAATCCAACGGAGACCTTCTGCTCAATCAACATTTGCTATCTACTCCTAATCTATTGTTGCCACCACCATAAACTTGCCAACCAATGTGCCTTACCACGAATCTTGTTATAACAAGAATAAGACAAGAGATAAGGAGTTCTTATTTGTACTGTTGATAAGTGTCACAGTTAGTATATAACCATTCCATCATGTGTTGTTGTGAGACAAAAAGCTCATAAACTTTTTCTCACACAACACATTATGTCAATAAACCTTATAATCATTTTCTTCTGATTAAGATTAGTTGAAAGAAAATAGTAGAAATTCTTGACCAAATTTTCAATTATTAGTTGGGGTACAATAAATTCAGAAATATTGACTAGAAGGTAACAAATTTGCTATAACCAAATTTGAAAATGTTTTTGGAGGAAAGCTAAAAGAAATAAAATACAAAATATATAAATGTATCACCAAAGTATATGTCAGAGGTCAGTTTAGGCATGAACCACTAAGGCACAAACATTGAATAGCTTCTTTGAGAGCCACTACTGAAATAAAATCACAAATTCTTTAAATAAAAAATTCTGCAGGAATCATGAGACTTCTTTCAGAAGAAAAGGTTATATTCTTCAAAACCCACAACTTGTAAACAAAACAATGATAAAAAATACATATTTTATGTCTGAATTTCTTGAATGAGGAGTTATCAATATTTACATTATTCATAGTTGGTCTAATATCATCATCTTTGTTATTACTATCACAACATTTGGCCATTGTGCACTCTCACTTTTTTTCAGGTATCTGTCAATCTAGGTATTTCAAATGAAACACTTTATTTAATCTACAGCGGTAGATAGTTGCACATGCCTAGCTGATATGAATTCTGACCCATTAGAAATGGAAACTTCAAGCAGACGATCCTTTAATCTTTTTATGATAATCAAAATTGAGGATTAATATTTTATTTATACATAGCAGGTTTTGATGATCTATAAATATTTGTGTATTTTTCAAAGAAATATTTTTTTGATAATTTACAGGTTAGTCATGAACAAATCAGACATTTTCATTCATGGTATACAAAGGTGGATCAAAAAGTTTGTAGCCTCACAGTTTGTAGTTTCACATAAATATTAGTTGAATTTTTATTTGAAATTTTCACTATATAATATTTGATATATATAGTTAATATTCGCATTAAATTAGGAAATGCTTTTTCATCATTAGGCTGCAGACTTATGAATTATGTAAAGTACCAGCTATCTACAGTTGCTTGTAAATTTTAATCAATGGGAAAATTCAAAGCAAAAAATCTTTTTAACTAAATTAGAACAAATAATTTACACCAAGAATCATGTTCTACAACTAGTAATTTAGAAATTAAAGTAATTTCTTAGAATCATTCAAAGCTTCCACCGGTAGATCCAGTATGCATACTGAAGTGTGAACTCACCTGTGATCCGTAACACAACCAACGGGTCAACCATAGGAAGAACATCCATCAGATCCTGTAATGTGAATTCTCCTTTTTCATGAATTTTGTCTGACCGTAATGTTCCTGAGTTTATCATGGCTGCATCAGCATGAGTGGCAGCCAACATGATATCTGTAATAAAATTACCTGGCAAGAAAGAAAAGTAAATGAACATACATAAAATAAAAATTGTGTATATATATATCTACAAAGAGATAAGCAAGTTGCCCACTACACACTTATTCAAAAAAATTGTATTAAAGAAACTATTTCATTGTGATGAGCGCTGCAGACAAATACATTTTTATATGTTTAAACATCTGTACATGACAGTTTTGAAATGTTCTTGACCTGATCCACTTCCCAAAATCAGTATTTCAATGACCAAATATCAGAATATGATGAAGTGGATCAAACCTAGAACATTTCAGCATCTCCTCATCTTTGTTAATAATTAGTTTCATTTATTATAATAGGTTTTCATTTATAGCAAGAAGAGAACGCAGAAGATTAACTGTTATCTCAACTTTACCTTTTGTTTAGTTTAATATTCAGAAAATATTGAAAATGCAGAAAGCCTTTAAGTTTTTTTTATGTAAGTACAATGAAAGCCAAATTACTTAAATACACCTTTATTTTTTCATGGCAAAGGAAAAATAGTTGAAGAAAAAATTAAACAGAAGAAAAGTTCATATTTGCTTTTGTGAAAAGTTTATAAAAGAAATCACAGGTGATTATGTTTCTTTAAAAAATTAAGCAAAAAGAAGTTCACTAAGATTAACTTTCATCTCAGGTGAAATATTTGAGTGTGATTCAGGGGCTAAGGAAAAGAGTGATGGGTGAGGAAACAGGGGTTTCTACTAAGTTGCTGATTTATTCAACATTGCCTCAAAAAATAACATTTTCTAATTATAAACTAAAAATTAAGACTTTTACCTAGAATTACTTATAAAATCTATATATTGATGACATGATTTCATTCCAGAAGAAAAGTTTAAAAAATAAGTAAGAAATAATAATATCAATATATATGAAAGAGACCACAATAATAATTAGCAACAATAAATATTTGTAAAGATTTACTAATGAATATGAAGTCTGTTTTGTTCAAGTATGACCAATTATCTCTAGTCATTATGAGGAATATGATATCAAATAGAATAGAGATAATAATTATAGTATTTCTAAAAAATGTCAGGATGAAGCTGAAAACTGTTGGCATAGTTTTTGTTGATAATCATGTTTCTTGAAACAAAACATGCTAACAGCACAAGCCTTGTAAAGAAACTCAAAAACACAAAGCAAGACATGCCAAAAATAGTATGGAAAATGACAAAATTAGCACCAGCATCCAACAACTATGTAACCTTTGCCTAAAGAAGAAAATAGCTATAATCCCCTTTCCAGAACAAGATAAACTCCTAAACAAAAAAAGCAGAGCTAATTTCCAAATGCAGACGCAAAAACAAAATCCTACAACACTACATCCAACCACATCATGACCAAAAAGATTAAATAAAATCCCATAACTTATATAAATCTAATAAACCAAATACCAGAATAGAAAACCAAAAGAAAAATACACAAAAGAAAACTATCCAAAACAAAAAGATATATAAATAAATAAAATATATAAATGCATAAATAAAATAAGCAATCTAGGTCATTACCATAAATAACTCCCAAACATTATGTCTAAACAAAAGAACTGGGAAGGGCTAGATGATTAAAGAAAGTGGATGAAGGACGAACTTCATCCACTTTCTTTAATCATCTAATGACCTATATACAGAGCCCACTAAAGGAATAGTGGTATTGAATTGAAGAATGTACTGAAGTGTGAAACTGACAGTCACAATGCAATGTTCATTCTTAAGATCCACACTTTCTATATTTATAAATGTATTGTGCACTCTTCTCCTAAAATATAGCATATATATATATATATATATATATAAGTGAACATTGAAGTCAATGCTCAGAAGCCTCTGATCGTTGCCTTCAATGTTCATTTTTATATTTACATATGCTCTATCTCTGATATTGAGCACTTTATCCCATAAATATAGCACACTTTAAAACTATATGTCTTTATATATATATATATATATATTACGATAAACGTGCAATCAATTTACAAATTCATGAATTATTCACACAAAAAACAAATGCAAAGGTTAATGATTTAATTGGCGAGAAATCCATCGTTGCAAACAATTCAAATAATATACAAAAACCTCCAAATCCGTTATGAATGAAATGATCCTTGTTTCTATAAATTTCTGCCGTATTAGTTCTTATTTTACTACAACAATACATATATTTTCGTTGTCCTCTTATTACTAAGAGAAAAAACAAGAACAACATCTATTCTATACCTGAAGATGTCTGTAGGAACAGACGAAAGCTTGTAGTAAAATAAGAACTAATACGGCAGAAATTTATAGAAACAAGGATCATTTCATTCATAACAGATCGGGATTATCTTTAAAATTTGTTTTAAAAATAGTATTTTATTTTTCAAATGTTGAAATCCTTAAACATTTTTATTTTTTAAGCAATCATTTTCTTGGTTTTATTTTTCTAGAAATGTAAAAATAGACTAGAATTTTCATTTTAATTACTAGCCATAAACTTCTGGTTAGTTTTACTATTAGTAAGAAAAAAAAATCCTCCTTAGTGGATAATCTCGGAATAAAAAATGATTTTACTGAGATATATTCCCCCTCTTAATTGATTTAAAAGAACTGCTCAGAAAGAAAATTACAATTTAAAAAATAAGCGCTATTGAAATTAGCACTCCTCCCCACAACCACCCACAGTAGGTATGTGGCCCCCACGCAGCGGAGAGGTTTGGGGTAGTAAGCACTGGCCTTATTGATTATTAGAGTTGGTGACTGACAACATAACTTAGGTAGAAAAAAAAGTAAAAGGTACAAAAAGCTAAAAACACTGCTGAAACTAGCCCCTTTCATGCAGATACACAATGTATATTATTAGTTGATGACTGACAATGTAATGTCAGTTTAAAAATAATTTTAAAAAATGGTGAATGGCCATAAAACAATGCTGAAAATAAATGGCAGAGGCCACAACAGGGTCCCAAAAAAGGTGCCCCACCAAGTTGGGGGTTTCGGAGGTAAGATATGCACATAAAGGGAGAAAGTAGATTTTATACTGGTCTCAAATGTTACATGTTTAATGACAAGTAATAAACCTGTGAGATATAGTCTTGAAAGCAATTAACCATTTGACTGAAGGGAATAGAAGAATAAATGAGTGGATGAGAGCTTCTGGGAGGGCTCAAGTCATAACAAACTAGACACTGATGATTTACAGTTACTAATCTGTATTAACAGTCATTGCTGAGACTGAAGTAGCCAGTTCTGATTCACTCTTGATGGGGGACAGATTGTCCCTCAGATAGTTCCACTGTGTCATGCAGGTGTCATGATGTGGAGTGGGGTGAGATTGGTTGTACGAAGAGTCAAAGTGCAAAAGGTAGAGCTGATCTGTTAGTCTGACATGGCAGAGGTTATCCTTAGCATCTCTTACCTACCCACCCAAACTCAGCAAGTGAAGCCCTGAATAAACACCTAAATATATTGACAAGATACAGTTCAAGTCCTTATTTTTTTAAATCTTTCATTTCCTTATAAATTTGCAATAGACCCTTCCCAATTTTTGGTGCACACTGACATGAATGAGGATGGAGATGCAACATGGAGAAATCATTGACTGGTTGGTAGAAAGCTGGATGAGGTCCCTGTTGTATATTTACAGTGTTTGTAAGTGGTTTTCTAAATTCAGAAGTGGAAATTTTGACCTAAAGACTGAGAACATTCCAACAGGCCAGCATGCACTGAAAATGACCAAATCAAAATGTTGAGAATAATCTAGGTCATGTGACACAAGACATCAAAGAATTATATTCAATAATCTCATATGCATGTTGTAAACAATCTGAGTGCCTCACATTTTAACAGAAAAAAATTTAATGTACTGCATTTCCATCTGTAATTCTCTGCTCAAATGCAACAAAAACAACCTATTTTTACAAGTGATGAGAAATGGATTGTTTACAACAATCTGGAGCAAAAAAAAAAAATCCTGTGGAAAATGAAATGAGCCCCCCATTAAACATTCTTGAAAAATATGTCCATACATGCAATAAAGAATTAAGTAGACACTTTCCAGATTTCTCTAACATTGTGCAAAACAGAGTCAGGAAAATTTGTATTAACCTCATAAGAAAAAATAAATAACATACCTAGATTAGTTTCTCTTGTGCGCACTGCGGTGAACCTTCCATCCAATGGTACAGAGATATTTCCTAGAACTTCATCTAATTTGCTACCAACAATATCTGTAAATATACAACCATAAAGAATTTGATGCACTTCTAATATGAAGTATGAAGTGGATACATCTGGACAAATACATAGGTTAGGGAGACACACACACACACACACACACACACACACACACACACATACAGATTATGTTTTTGTAAACACATATTCCTGCACTCATAATGGTAATATTAGCTGTTTTCTTATAAGGAAACATTCAGCATTGTTCCTTTCAGCTGAAATTTATAAAATCTTTCCCTTAAAAACATTTTTCAAGTAAATAGGTTTCTTAAGTCCAGTAACTGTTACCACTCTTTCTAGTATTCATAGGGGTGTCCTTCCTAAACTTTTATTTAAAGTAGTGTTGAAGGTTAACATCTTGATTATATCATTATTTTCTCTTCAGAGTTATACGTGTGAGGCGAATGAAGAAAACAGTAACCAGCGAGTAAATTCAAGCTCTCCCAGCTGGTATTTCAAACTTGAGTCGTTCCTTCCTGAGTTCTGTCTCCAAATCACACTAACTGCCCGTTCTAGCCGTCAACCGTGAACGTCCCTCGAAGAACTCCCCGACTTGGAAAAAAGTAGTTGTTTTTATAGTTGTTCATGTACCCATAATCCCTTGCGTCTTCCTGTGATCCCATAATTCATTGCGTCCATGTCTCATAATGCATTGCATCGTTATTGCATAAAAATGCGATGCCAGTCCCCCCTCATTCTTTTACGTTATCTGGCGAGGATGGATTACGGCAGAGCGGTAAGTGCTTTTTTTCTCTCCCTCATTTCAACTGCAGTAGCTTTACATGCTAAGCAAATACGGGCTCTTTTTGGCGGGGACAAGGCAAGTCGCGACCAGTTGTGCTCGTCCCAGGTTCTGTCTCATGTCCGCCACACTCCCCTGATCTCCTGATCACACAGATGACAGTGAGGATACAGTCTTTTGTTCGGTGCTCCTCGAAAGGGGATTGGTTGAACTTCTTCATCAGAGGAGCTCTCATTAGACACATCCCGATCTATTGGCAAACCACCGCTATCTGAGTGATTGGTTGTTGAATCCAAACTCTATGTATATTGGCTGTTCACTATCCTCCGTGTCTTCTTCGTCAGTTGTGGGATTTGAGCCCAAAAAGGGCGCAGGTTTCTAACATGACGAGGCGTTCCATCGACCCGCACTGACTGCTGACTCACCACCGGTCACACGTCCGGTTCCAAATTTGGTCGTGCATTTACCACGTGGAGTCTTAACCCAGACAATATCCCCTTCCTTGTATTCCCCTTCGGTTATTTGTGATTCAGGCGGGGGCGTCGCGATGCCTCTCACCCGGACGTGGTATGTGCAGTACATCAGCAGCGGTGCCGTGGAAGGTGAAAAGGTTGTCCTTAGGTGTGACGTTATGCCAGTAAACCGCTTCCAAGACTGAACAATTTTTCCTGGCCGCTATGGTTTTGACGCTTCTGTGGTTGCGTTCCAAAATGCCATTTCCAGACGCCACGAAGCGCACGGAACCTTAAATGCACGCCCCAGCTGTTTACAAATTCCCTAAATTGTCTGCAAGTGAACGTGGTGTCATTGTCAGTCAGTATTTCGTCATGGCCTCGTTCAGAGAAGACTGTCTCTAGCTGACAAATGACACCAGCAGAGTCTTGCCGTCTCAGTGGCCGCCATACTGCAAAACGGGAGGGACCACAGTCAATGAGCGAAGAAAATGGCTACCATTGCAATGGGTTACGTCCATTGCTAACCTGCTCCAGTTTTTCTCACACTCAAATTTCCTTTCTTCCAATGCACTGGTGCTGGATCGATCGATTGGCAGGCTTCACAGGTTCTAACGACAGATTTTACCAGTTCCTTAGACACCGTTGGATCTACAGTCCCTAGCAAAGTACATTGTTCTTTTAACACCTGGGTGCCCACTCTGCTGGTGGATGTGGGTCACCTGACGTTTGCTCAACTGGCTCGTTGCAGTGACACAACCACTTGCACCGGTTCTCCTCCTTTCTTGTGCATCTCCAACCAGTATCTTTGCGGCACTCTGGTGAGGCTGTCAGCGCGGTTCTGACAAGATTTCACCAACGTCACAGTCATAGTCAGTGCGCACTCCTCCACCAAAGCTCGCGAGTGTCTCTAAGCCGCCTCATCAGCATTTCACCCGCTGCCTTCGTGTTCATTTGCGTCCTTCCTGTCAGGGTGTCAGACACCCACCGATGCACACATGCTGAATCAGTGACCACATGCATAACTGGTGCCTGCCACTGCAGGGCAAGATTCACGCCCTTGATCACCGCATCAAGCTCAGCAAGATTAATGTGTTTGGCATCATTGGTTGACGCAACCAGCAAGCATCTTCCACGACGCTCCCATTCACCTCTAGTGCTACTCCCGTGGCCACGGAGCTTGCATCCACCCAAACTGTCATTTCATTGCCGTTCATTATTCAGTCTCCGCCGACAGGATCTGATTCCCCACCTCTGGCCACTGTTTCTCCAGCATACGTCCAAGAGGGCATCCTTTATCTCGTCGTCCCATCCTTTGGTTAGTGTACTTGCATAACGCTTAATAAATGCAGTTGCCACCCTAAAACCAACCGCACACAGGAAATGACCCACAAGTTTCCCGCAAAAGGAAAATACGCTTCAGCGGGTCACCTTTTTGAGCAATTTCTGGAACCTGACCTCCCGCTTCCATCGAAGGGAGTTGCTTTCTTCCCAGACTTGCAGACCCAGGACCTTAGTTCCGTCTCTCAATCGCTCCGGATCTTTACAGACCAGCCCGTAATCTGCAAAGTGCTGTCTTACCGCCGCTGCAGAAACTAGGCCTTCATTTGCGAAGATATCGTCGATTTATGCTGACGGGCACTTTTAATGTCCTGATCCTGGGACGTTATCATGTCGATCACTGACTTCATGACAAGTGGTGCCACATTCAGGCCAAAACCCAAACGTGTAAGGCAAAAACCGCTTGCCCTTAATGACCACTGTTTGAAACGGCCATAGCGATTTGTCAATGTGAATCTGTAGGTACGCATTTTCAAATCCAACAGCGATACGTCAGCTCCTTGTCGTCGCCATTCTCAATTTCTGCGCACACACCTCTGGCGCCAGCCGTGAATGCGCTTCACAAAGCCGCTCAACTCCCGATAGTCGGCACCGGTCGGATCTTCTGTTTGTGTTCTTATAACGACCGCCATTAAGGGAATTAATCCCCTGGGGGCCAAGCTCTTTTCTCAGGATATGGCAGTAGCCATCCGTCTTTGCTGCCACCGTGAAGTTCTTCACATCATGCATCCCGGACGTGGCCAGGTACTGTGTACTCCTGTACTTTATTGACCAACTTGCTAGGTGAATAACCACTCGCCCACTTCCACAATGCAGTCCACGTTTTTGTGCTCGGGTTAAACGTCACTCTAAAGTCAGGCTTGTTGATAACAATGGCGTAACATGTGTTCAGGTTTCCAAACGAGCTTCGCCTGATTCAAGTAAACACCTCCGAGCACTTTGATTGCATCAATCCCACAGAAGAAGATCGAATTTTTAGCAACTGCCCTTCCACGACCAGAACCTCAACAGTCACGGGCTGAATATGCTCGACGCCCAACTTAATTTTACAGATCCACGGCACTTCAGGGTCTTCCGTCGGCAGTCAACACTCCCACCTCTTCCTGCTTCCAGCAGCGACACACAGTCTTGCTCACCAGCGTCTGTGAGCATCCCGAATCCACTAGAGCTGTGCACTCTACTCCATCTACAAATATTGTACGGTGGGTAACTTCCGGTTTTTTACTTGCTCGGGAGAAGGCTTTTTGACGCATTTCTCCCTTGGCGTTTCCCTGGCATTCTGAGGAAATGTGTCCAATGCCGTTGCATCGAAAACACCGCTTGTCGCGACCAGACCTCTGCGTTCTGTTTGACCTCTCCTGACGTCCTCGTGTACAATTCTTCGCCATATGGTTGGGTCCAGAGCACTTGTAGCAGGTAATCGTTCTGCTAACAGGTTTGGCAGGGGAACCTCAGCTTCTGAGCGCGTTAGCTACGGATGCGGCGGCCAATACCTGGCACCCTTCGTCACCCGTCATAATAGCCCTTTGCTTGGGTCAGAATCTGTTCTAGATTCATGTCGTCCATCCTGGAAGAAGCTTTGAGAAGCTGCCCTAACATGATGTGGCAGTCCTGACACAAATGCACATGCCATCCACCGATCTGTTAGCGGTTCTCTACTAGCCGCGCAAACGATGCATTTCAGCCAGGAATTCATCCACAGTTTCCCCTTGCCAAGACGCCGTCCCATAAATTGGTCGAACGCATTAAATCTGTCAGTCGCGGGTATGCAGTCATAAGGGCCTGTTTAATTTGTTCCGTCTGCCCTCTGCTCTCCACTGAGTTGTCTATATACAGCAAGGGCACTGCCTCCAAGTCGTAAAGGCAAGATGCGCTCGATCTTGTCCATGGCACAAAGTTCGCAGACCAATTCCACAATTTCTATCCATTCAACAATGGGCATATCCGTTGGGGGTCGCTGAATTCTGAATCAAACGGACGTCAAAGACCTTGCCTTCCATTTTGAAGAAACAATATGCCGAAATATCTTGAGGCGAATGAAGAAAACAGTAACCAGCGAGTAAATTCAAGCTCTCCCAGCTGGTATTTCAAACTTGAGTCGTTCCTTCCTGAGTTCTGTCTCCAAATCACACTAACAGCCCATTCTAGCTGTCAACCGTGAACGTCCTCAAGAACTCCCCCGACTTGGAAAAAAGTAGTTGTTTTTATAGTTGTTCATGTACCCATAATCCCTTGCGTCTTCCTGTGATCCACATAATTCATTGCGTCCATGTCCCATAATGCATTGCATCGTTATTGCATAAAAATGCGATGCCAGTCCCCTCATTCTTTTTACGTTATCTGGCCGAGGATGAATTACGGCAGAGCTGTAAGTGCTTTTTTTCTCTCCCTCATTTCAACTGCAGTAGCTTTACATGCTAAGCAAATATGGGCTCTTTTTTGGCGGGGACAAGGCAAGTCGCGACCAGTTGTGCTCGTCCCAGGTTCTGTTTCATGTCCGCCACAACGTGATATCCATTTTAGCTGTTGCTGCTGTTGAAAGTCCTCAAGTGATATGGTTTCTGTTATTTGGTACAGTTTTTTGATTGTGATTCTGCACCAGTTCACAATATTTAAAGAAGGATGGTTTTCACCATGATCCACAGGTTTTACTCACTCAAAGCTATTTTTAACCATTGATCTTAGAAAGCAGTTGTATACAGTTGACAGTTTAGATATTTCTGAATGGATTTGGGACCAGGCAAATCCATTCAGATGAACGTCTCAATCTGATGAGGCTATTTAAGAACATGACTTTTTAGGTTAATGTTTTGGTTTTGCAGCAATTTGCAGTGTTGCACTATCTCTAGTGCATCCAAATCTATGTTCAATTTCCTTATCTCCTATGCTAAATTTGTTATAACTAATCCATACACTGAGATATTTGAAATATTTGGTATTTACTAATTCCACATATGGAATTTTTATGATGGATTTAGGGTAGGTGCCATCACTGCTTTCATTCCAATTTGTTTCAGTTTTTCAAAAGTTTATTTTGAGTCCTATTTGCTAGAACACTTGATAGAGGATGTTGATTTTTTGTTCAAGATCATTCTTATCCCCATTATTAATACCCATGTCATTAGAACCCCTTTCATCATCAGTATATTGATCTCAGAAGAGAGAGCAGGATCATTACCTTCTATTAGTAGATTCATTTGGGATGTTATATAGGATGCTTAAATGATCAGTGCCCATCTCTTCACATCTATATTTGTACATGCACAGGGCAAAGATTAAATAGTCTTGGGCTCTCATTTCCTCCTTGTCATGAGGTTTTAAATGTTTCTGTATTGGAGTCTTCACCAGACATGTAAGATTTTGTTCCTCTATTAAATCGATGCATCCAGTGGATTCAGAGCTTGGAAAATGGTTTCTAATGGATGAAAATAGGAAGTCTCTATTGATGTGGTCATATGTTGCTGTGAGATTGACAAAGCAGGTATACAATTTCCTATTAGAGAGATATGCAATTCCCTAGAGTTATTTGATGACATATATGCCATCATTACATCCTTTACCAGAATGAAAACCAAATTGTGTTATGATGAACTGACTTCCATCAAATAATTAGAGCCTTGTTAATATAAGGTTCATTAATATTTTCACCATAATGGATCCAGTTGATTAACCCCTGTATGTGTGTGGTCTTGAGGGATACCTTTTTGTTCCCATAGTATAGTAATGGACAATAAACATCACTTTTGGGGGATACATTTCTGATTCCAAACTTCCTTCATAAAATTGAGAAACTTGTTACTGAATTTGAATAGAAATTAAGCTATTTTCAAAAGTTCAGCCTCTATATCTAGTGACACTTTATTATTCCTTAGTTTTTTATTAGCTTTCTTAATTTTTTCATCAGTAGGTTCATTATTGTTTATTTTTGGAGACAGACTTTGAAAGGATTGATATATATTGGTATATGATCTATTTCTGCAGGCATCTTTACTGTGCTCAGACTTGAAATCTAACTCAAAGTGTTTTTTGAGACCAGAACATTTCTTTTGTGCTGGTTTTATTATGTGATGTTATTGCAGTTTCTTTTGCTTTTCTCCATATTTTAGCACATTGTTTATGCTGCTTGGTTTCATTAATTTTGTTTCCAATTTTCCTGACATATTGGTTTTTCAGAGCGTTAACTATTTTTTTCATTTGTTTTGTTGTCTAGTATTTTCCCTTCTATTTTTCTTTCTCTTCTGTTTGTTTTTTTATATCATTTTTAAACTCCAAGTTATCATTCTATAAGTGTATCTCTTTCCTTCTAGTTATTCTTGGAATAGTCTCACACATTTCAGCTAATGAAGATATGATTGATCTATGTTGTTTTAACCAAGATTTACTAACATCATTTTGGACTGGTTTATAACTGAATTCTAAATTTACCCTTTCATTTTTAAGAGCTTGGATGTTTTTGTGGTTTATGTGAGCAGAAGCAGGCTATTGTGTTGGCTGATGTTGTCAGTTTAGTTACAAATAATCTGTGATCAGATTCAAAGTAGATGTTGTATACTCTAACATCTGTCACAAACTGCTTAATTCAAGAGTCTGAGATGCTGAGATCAATAACTCTTTTGATATATTATCTGGGTTATGTCATGTGATACAGTGTTTCATGGGATGATAGAACCATACATTAAGGACAGAATATCTGTTGGAGTAACAAAATTTTAACAAGAATTCTCCATTGCTGTTTGAGGCTCTTCCATTTCAAAGGATAGTATCTTCTTACCATCAAAGGAGCAAATGACGTTTAAAAAATACTTGAGATAGTAAAATCCGCATTAATGCACAGAGAGATTAAGAAAAAGATATTTACAAAGGTACAAACATTAGTTGGTAATATACACATACTACAATATTTACTTGCTTATAAGCCAAACTCTTTGAAATAAAACCTTTTGCATTACTGTTCACTGAAACTCATCCTAGGCATGTAGTGTAAGACATCAGTAATACTAGCACATAGAATATGTCATAATATTTGGAAACAGACTTGAGGAAAAGCATGTCTTACAAGCCAGTAATTATAATGTACACACACACACTCATTAAATATACTATTAAGTCAAAATATTATGACCACATGCTTAATAAGGTGTTTGTCCTCGTGTGTCCACAAAACAGCTCTTAGCTGATCATGTACAGATTCTACAAAACCTGTAAAGAAATCCTCTGGTATTTAGTGCCAAGATATTAACAGCACAAGTCATTTAACTGCTGCAAAAAATTAGAAACACGTGTTCACTGGATGATTTTGCCATCATTTACTTATAGAAATGGATTCACCCAGATGATGTATGTGTGATACAATTGGAAAAGAGATAGTGAAGTTGTAGCAACCATGAAACACAGGATTTAACATCATTTGGCCACAGAATGATAGCTGGAGCCAAAAAGAGCTCTATATCTCCAAGATCTGTCTTTCTCCAGGCAACAGTAGGGGACATCAAGAATATATCAATTCTGGATAAACATCAGTAGCACATGAAAATTGTGGGCACCCACAGGTGATGCCAGAACAGAACCACTGGCAACTGACAAGGATAATAACATTTCATCAAATCCCATCCCAATAATTCAATACTGATGCCACTCAAATCATTAGTCAATTCCACTGCATTCCATAGGCTTTTGTAGTCAACTAACAAGTGTACCATTACTGAAAAAATGGTATCATTGAACTTCACCAAATAACATAGAATACATCAGTCAAAATATTTTTTTGACAAAAATTAAAATATGAAGAAGAGGTTTCCCTATCTGAAAAAATGTTTGGAATATTGTATTTTTTTTTTTTTACTTACTTAAATAATTAGTAACAATTTCTTTAGTTTCATCATCTTCGGGATATGATGAATCAAGATCAACGCGTTCTACTGTTATTTTGACCTCCCCTGGCCCTGAGGTTGGCCATTCCAATAACACCTTACTCAGGTTACGGAAATCTGTTCCACTTTTGAGCACATAGCGACCATTTACCTACAATAAGACATCAAAAAATAAAATAAATTAGAGCTAATATTTTTCACATTTATTCTAGAAGGCAAATCTATTATTCAAAATTTCATCTTTTGTAGGTGATGTTTTTGCACCGCAACATCAAGGCAAAACAAGATAAACGCACATTATATGCTTTCTATTTAGACCGATTTGCTCATCTTGGTTAGTTATACTAACCTGAAGAAGATTTTTGTATCCAATGTCTATCTTTATACTTAGAATTTCAAACGGAACCCTTTATTCAGTCTATTGAAGATAGTTCTTTCTGCTTTCCAATGATATTTTACTCACCAATCTTATTTGCTTTTGCGTCACTTGTTCGTTTCTTTCCCTGAACCAGAGTATGTGACATTTCAGCACACAGTATAGACTCAAAACGTCTGTATATTATATTATGAGTAAAAAATTCATTAAGAATCTAAAGGTGTGTGATGTGCATCTGTTGTGCACTCATAGCCCTCAATGGGAAATGGCTAATTAGATTCTGACAAACTATAAACTTAACAGTAGAACCTGAAACAGTTGGCAACAAGTCTGGCAGTTAAAAACAGAAGAACATATAATTCACAAATTAAAAGCAAATGAATTTACATGCAAAAGATGTTATTTTTTTTTACTCTCTCCCAGCAAAGCACTAATCTCAACCAATGCAGAATTATTACTGAAAGGGAAAGCAAGTGATTGTTCCTCCTCTTATGAAACATAATCTGTTATCAAAAATGGACTCAGTTACTCTTCTTTGAGTAGTGCTATATTTTTCTGTTGTACATAAATTTATATAAATTAAATGTTCCCATACATGCTTTCTTAGACCTATTGTTTTCCTTTGATCTAAATACACACCATAATATTTGGAGATCTTTCAGGTTGTAGCCATATCAGCTCTTTGTATGACAATAAGTCTGGGTAGACTTTAGAAGAAACATATAGCACAACTAATGTTATGGGAGTAAATCACATAGAAACCATTTTGTCTTTAAGTGAAACTCACTTTGAAAAGAGATGGAAATGCAAACAGCTATATTGTCTTCTAAGTGACACATGATATTTTCAGCAGTTTCTAAATGTGATTTAAAACAGAATTTCTGGATAATGTAATATTTTTTCTGCTTGAATTTAGTACAAATCATGATAACTGTATTGCAAGTCAAAAACACAGAGCAAGAATTGATGTTTCAGTTATATATCATTAAAATGCTTTCATAATTGAACAACCTTTAAATTATCTTTGACAATCAAGTTTCTACTGATTTATTTTGATTAGACATCAGTCACGTAATGTCACAATACCATGTAGTTTCACTTAAGATCAAAGAGTCAAATGCACTTAATGGTCAACACGATCACCCATACATCACAAATTTTTGGTGAGTGTGTTTATCTTTTAACTAAAAGTTCATTTTTCACTCAGAGAAACAAATCAAAGAGGCACTTAGATTGTGTGTTGCTGCTAATTTCTACCAAATCAGAATACGGAAAGCTGTAAGATTAACTGCTATTATTAAGATGCCACATCACATTCTAGGAAGGCTAAAAGAGTAATTTTTTTTACACATTCTAAGATAGTTATGAAAAAAGCTGCTATAGTTTTTTAATACTTTAATAGATTAGAAACATATCTTTTTTTAGATAACAAATGCTCATTGTACTTGAAGTAAAGATAGCTTAATATGATTAATATTATTTGACTTTTGTGTTGGTACTTGCAATTCTTTTTGGGGAAGTGAAATGATTAATCCAATGAAAATAATTTATTCTAAATTTGGTAATTTTTTGTTGGGTCAATAACAAAGATAAATACATAAGAAGTTAGTCAAATAAACAGGTAAGACTGTAGAGGCAGGATATACAGTATTTGTCAACAGTCAAATGTCTTTGCCATACTTATCTGGTTTTATTAGCCGTCTTTATCTTTCACAATTACACATAATGAAAGTAAATATTTTGTTATGAAAAACAAAAATATATAAAACTTTTATTCTGTAGTCTTCAACATCTATAATTATATAAAAAAAACTTACATTTGAACTTTATTAACAATTTCTTAAATAAAATCAATTGTTATTCTTGTAACTTCAGTTTCATCTTCTATTTTCCTTTGTATATTTCATAGTGAAATTATTATTTGGATAATTTCACCAATTTTACATTTTGTTTTCTTTTTCTTTATAAAATGCAATGAAAACTCATAGCCATGAACATGTTGGGGACATAAATTAGCTCACCCACTGACTCTAAAACCAAACATTTTTTATAAAGACACACTCAGGCTCAATACTGAAAGCAAGTGTTTAGGTTGAACCCAGTTTAGAACATCTTGCATAGTTCATTACCTACTTAAGAAAAGTGAAACCAAAGAGTTACCAAAAGTTTCAAGAAGTTGAACAACTGGGTTTTATGGTTCATTAAAGCAAGAAACATTGATAAAATATTGGGACAGGGATGGTTTTAACCTCTAAAAACTGTCCAAAGGAAGAAACTGGGCACACTAATCTGTAACCAGATATCAGGGTTCTTTCCAAAAACCATCAAACATACCTTCCCTTCCTACTAGAAATATCAATAAATCAGTATTTTATTATTAATTTTTTTTATTATCTTATATATTTCATATTTAAAAGAATAAAGAGACAGTTAATGAAGGGTCACGAATTCTGTAAAAGAATTAACAGCCAAAAAAGTTTGGGGATAATAGGCAACTAACACTGAAACTAGCTAATAGGGCTTAAGTGGGTTTTAAGGTCAGCTTAAAATCATTCCAATTTTAGATTAAGTAGTTCAAACATGTTTGTTTTATTTTTAAGCATATTTCCGCAATACAAGCAATGTTTTATTTTTAAGCATATTTCCGCAATACTTATGTCTAAAAGCTTTATACTTATCTACCTCTTTTAGACCATATTCATGGTCATGGCCCCCAAGAATGAGGTCTATATTTTCAGCTTCTTCAGCCAATCGTATGTCATTTGGCCATCTCATGTGCGTTAGGGCAATCACAACATCTGCTCCCTGTAATGAAATCAAGATTAAAAATCATTAAACATGTTGACAGAATGAAAAATGGGTACAAAGATAAGTAATCAATTACACACTGATCTGAAAGAAAGATTCATTCTTTGTTTGACACTTAAGTGATTACTTTTTTTGATTGTTAATTTCTGTCAGAATTTTGACAAGCATTCAAAACAGTATCCTTAACTTCATTGTTTTGGTCATACATTTTGAAGAAGCCTTGGGTTTTTTTTTTATAGCAAACAAAGTAATTTTAACTTAATTTAACTTTATTAAATATCAGATCTGTGTCAATGATGTCTGTTCAGTTATGTTTTTTGTAATTGTTTTTACTCACACATGGACACACACAATCACAAAACATACACACAAATATATTTTGCTTTACATATAAATTTAGAAAAAAAAATACTTACATCTTTTTTCAGTTCCTTAGCTACCTGTGTTCCTACTACAACAAAATCTTTGAATGTGACATCCTCTGGGTCAAGGGTTCCTAATGTTTCGATCCATTCTTCTTCGACAAGTCCAATCAAACCTATCTGGAACAGAGGGACAAATTTTTGTACACAGCATTACAAATGATCATACTGAAGATGATACCCATGTTTATGATGATAGGTTGTACAGGAGTTAGTATCTTAAGACTGTTATATTGGGGCCCTATGCAAAAGAAGGAATCTGTTATATGATTACTATTCTCTAATACATAGATATTTTAAAAAGAGTAATCTGAACTTTAGGTGTAATCATAACTACAAGAAAATGATAATGAAAGAAGCCTCTAGATTATAACCAGTCATTTGAAAGTTTCCTTTTACCTAATATATGGTATTAAAGATACTATATATACATGGATACAAAATAAAATTGTAACATCATGAGTGATGATACAAATTTTTATCCAGGTATATCAATACAAATGGGTAGTTGATATTCTGATAATATATTTAAAGTTTACAGCCATCTTGTGACATAGCAATGTAATCAGTGCCAGATTTACCTATAGGCTGAAGCCTAGAGCCTCAAAATCTAGGGGCCCTCCAACCAAGGTATATAATATTTTTGACAGTGTTATAAGCCTTTATTACACATACTGTCATAATGCATTGTATGCTCTAAACAACCCTTCAGTTATTTTCCTTACATTCCATTTTAGAATAATTCTGTCTTAAGCTGATAACTTAATGCTAACATTGATTTCTTTACAGATTTTTTAAAATTTTAACATTCATGCATTTTTTTCAATCCCATGCTTTATTTGGCAATAACATCTTATGTCCTTTATAGGAGGACTTATTAACTGTGAAATTTTAAAAACCTATCATCATCATCCTTACTCAAATTGTTTAATACAACTCTTCTATTTTCCTCTACCCATGAGAATGGAGGATTTTGGAGGTGCCTCACAAATAGAATAGCCTAGGTCTTCTCTTCATCTAAATCTGGCCCTGAGATTTGCTTGAGTTTTAAACAGTGATACATGCTGTGACTTTCAATGTGGTGAAATGGTCCAGTATAAGCAGGTGCCATGCCATGGAAATACTCATGTTCTTCTTTTGTTTAAGCAGAGCCATTTGAGAAAGGCCTTTAAAATGCTGGATGGTAATTTTGAAGAACTGTCATGACACGATGGTGGTGCTTCAATGTTGACACCATTGGTTGATGGATTTAGATTTTTGTAGATTATAAAATAATTACATATAAAATAATTACTTATTAGAAAGCTAACTTTTTATTTGATGAATGATGGCAAATTCTACTTGCACAGTAAGCATGGCAGCCATTTTACTCTGTGTAGATATAAATAAATGGCATCCATTTGCATGAAATATCAATTACAAAATTTCAAGTAGCCACATTACAATTATAAAACTACTACCCTGTCTCCTGGTGCTAGAGGTCTCACTTTTTCAGTCAATCTTCCCTATACATGTTGTGTCTAAGTTTTTGATTTGAGGAAGTCCGAGATGAAACTGGTTGAAATATCCTTAGGAACAAATGCACAAGTTATAAAAGAAATAAAATGAAACATGGTTTTCATGTCAGACAACCAACTCTTGTTTATAGGAACAATAATATAGAATTTATCTGTCAACAGTTACAGTTATCAGTTTAACCCTTTCCAATTCTGTGGTACTGTAGTCTACTTAATTACAGCAAATTGGTGAGTTACTAGGTGTCAGCCTTATTTACAACATATAACAAAAGCAACAACAATGCCCTGGTAGTTGGTTGTACAATTTAATCAGGACACTGTAAAGTTGTTTGTCAAAACCTGGTCTCCAACTCTTTTCACTTAATTGTTAGGCTGCAAATGGAATCTTCTTAAGCTATGGAAAATCTTTAACTAATAAAATCTTCTCTTCAGACAAGTATTTTCCAAAGGATGGTGAAGTAGGTGATGGAAAGGTGTGGTGATGTCAACTTGTAACATCTTCCCTTAACAACTAGACCATGACTGTACTGAAAATCTTACTGAAACTCCAGCTATCAAAGAAGAGGAAAGAATTGATCTGCTTATATTGAAGTATCTCAGCATGACTTGGCTGGGGTTAATTTATAATTTTCCAAGGTTCTCCAAATTTGATTTGTCCAACCACTTCCTCCAGGTTCTCATGTGCCCATTGGTTAGAAAAAATTCTTATCACCATTCCTAGTGGGGAGTTATATCAACAACTAAATTCCCTATACGAATTAATAATACCTGGTTAAATTATAATTTTCCTAGGATTAAACTCTTAAATAAAATTTTATTTTCTCCAGAATTATCTACTCATCAGCTTATTTTCAAATCTCACTTTAAATAGAAGAAGAAAAAAAACAAAGTTTGGGAACTTCAGGTAAAATCCTTATTACCTAACTTAGATAAATCAAGTTAATTCCCATTCCAACTGGCTATTAGGTATTAATCTATTTACCTATAAAATCCACACTATTAAATGTTAATGAAAGTTTAAAGCTTTAAATCTTTTTACTCATGTTCACCCTATACAAGGCCCAAGAGCCACTCTAGGTAGAGAGTTACTGAAGGCTGTTGTTGTGTGAGTGATAAAAGCAAGGGGCAATTCTGTTCCACAAACCAACAGTTCTTAAGAAAAAGCTATCCGAGTGAAACATACTCCTTATTTGCCTTAATGTATGTGGTATGACATGGCAGGTTTAGCTGGGAGGATTAAAGTTGGGGGAACTAAGGAATGTAGCTAGTCTGAACATTTTTTATGGAAATAGCAGAGGTTTGCAACATTTCATCTGTGGGAAAGGAGTTGTAAAGTAGAAAACAATTCATTACCCACAGACACTTTTGGACTATGAAAACTGGGCAGCTCCAGTCTAGATATAGCAGCAGTACTCCATTTTTGGCCAGATCCAACTCTTGTAAAGGTAGGGCATAACAGGAGGAATCAAGTACAGTACAGGGAACCAACCATTTTTCCAACATCTTTAGCAATCGATCATATATGAGAGTTCTACTTGAGGTCTGGAGTGAAGTCCCAACAGGCATTCAAGACAAAAGGCCTTCTTGAGAGAACACCTTTCATTGCAATAGATAGAAATTCAAGGGCTGCTTCACAAGAGATTGGAGTATGCACTTGGGCAGATCATTAATTGTTGTGGAGTATTTTCACAGTGGAGGCTTGTATTTCTAATAAGTCGTCCTAAATTAGGTCCGACGTACAAAACGTTAGGAACTTGGAAAATAATAGTCAATGACGCAGCAAATCTAGTTGTGATGGTTGGTACTTCAAATGCCCGAATCTCAACTGACGCGCTCAACACCATTCTGCAGACTTGCCACTGCTACTCCTATTTATTATCTATGGGAGAGTCCATTACCAAAGAATAGGTAGTATAACATTAATATAATGCATGAATGATTGGACTTAGAAATAAACCTACATTGATCTCATGGCCCTCAGAGCTAATGACCATTTATAACAATGTTCATAGACCTGTTTGTCAGGAAAAACTTGATAATTGAGAAAATTCTTCAAGTGATTCCATAGCTGGAGTACTTGTGTAGCAATCCCCATGTCACTTCTAGACCTTTAATATATCTAAGTTGATCGTCCTTATAATGTGTTTACTGCCTAATGATTTGCTGATTCTGTGAATAATAACAGGATATCAGCAATGAACTGATCAAATTGAAATCTGTATTGTTTGTCACTCAAGAGGTTGTCCCAGTTGAGGTGCTCCACAACTTTCTCGTTGATTATAGCCTCAAAGAGCTTGTTGATGACACTGAAAAGGCTGATGGGCCAGTATCAAGGGGATGAGTATTCACCTACATTCTCAAAAACTGAGCATACACTTGAGGCTTTCCAGAGACTTGGGAAGGATTTCTCCTTTAGGCAGTGGTTGAACAATTTTGCTAAAATTGGAGAATTCAGGGTTAATATTCTTAAGGATAACTACTGTACAGATAGTCTTCATAGGGTCAAGGATTTTCATAAGTTTTGAAACTTCCCAGGACAGGATAAAAATATTACTAAGTTTGTGCTCTGTGAGACAGGGGAGTGGGTTGAAAGGCTGATTTGATATATAAAGTAAAATTATTCATAACTTCAAAACTTACAAAAATTAAAACAAAACTAGAAATTGCAAAAATAATCAGTAGATAAACCAAACAGTAAGAAGTTTAAAGATTCTGAATGACTTTGATGCAGGCCTGATTAGGGCAAGTTGAGAACTTTATCCCATATTAAAAGAGATGATATAAAAAGTGTGTGTTAAGCTCTGAAATTTTAAAGTATTATGGTAGTGATAGTGTTAAGATGAACAAGCCTAAATCAAGTGGTAAAACAAAACACTAATAAGTAGGTATCTTTTAAAAAACATCAATTAAATTTTTTTTTCCATTCACAAATGTCACGCTACTCACAATAGGCCAAATGGATGGAGAAAAGTTTCACAAGTTGATAAATCAGCAAGGCAGAGGTCATGTGATGTTTTGGAGTAGGATTATAGGTAGTAAAGTGGTGGGCTCAAGTTCCAGATCATGTTAAAATAACAGATCAGAAATACATTGATTTTTTTTAAGACATTTATACAGTCAAGAAGCAAAACTCCTTCAGAAAGAAAATTATTTTTGTGCATGACAATGCTTCATCAAACTTGATGAGAAATTAATGAATATCTGAATAAAATGTTTCAAAGATACTTGTTTGATAAAGTGGCTGGCTTGTTTGTCTGAAATTTACTGGCAAAGATGAATTTTGAATGCAATCTTGGATGTTTTACAATCTGTTCCATGTAAAGAGATAAGAGATGTTGGGTGTGCATACAAGGGTGATCAACAAATCTATATCCTGCCACATATTAGCTGAATTTTGATCAGAAATTTTCCCTGTATAATACTTGATCTATATGATCTATGGCAAAGTGTTGAGTTAAGTGCATTGACAGAGGAGATTATCTTGAAAGTATTTGTGTAAAATAAATACTTTTTTTCCTAATAAACTATGTACTTCCCAAAATTATGATTCACTTCCCAAAATTAATATTTCAATGAGCAAACATCAGAATCCAAGTGGATTGAGCCAAGAACTTTTCTGACATATTGTATATGGTTATGTATGTATATAATACATATCAATATAAAATGTGCATATTGCATTGTTATATATTTTATTATTATACATTTCATATATTCATATTATATTTTATTATATAATATTATTATGTATTTTAATTATTCATATTATATATTATTATATAATAGTATTATGTATTTTAATTATTCATATTATATATTATTATATAATAGTATTATATATTTTAATTATTCATATTATATATTATTATATAATAGTATTATATATTTTAATTATTCATATTATATATTATTATATAATAGTATTATATATTTTAATTATTCATATTATATATTATTATATAATAGTATTATATATTTTAATTATTCATATTATATATTATTATATAATAGTATTATATATTTTAATTATTCATATTATATATTATTATATAATAATATTATATATTTTAATTATTCATATTATATATATATATATATATATATATTTTATTATTCTTGCTATCTATTTTATTATTAAATATAATATTAAAATTATAAAATATATATTAATCTTGTATAATTACTTTTAGTGAATTTTTAATAAATGAATTCTGATTTTTTTAAAATCCACAATAATTTTGGTCTATTAATTGGAGATAACAAGGTATATTTAAAATGTCTACAAAGATTTTTTTGTGATGACAAAATCATAAAACTCTTATCCAAAATAGCTGTTTGGATGCAAAGGTTGTTGATCTACCATGCTAAACTTTATGGGATTTCAATAGTCAATTGTTAATGGCAGCCAATTCATCTCAAAGCATCATGTGACAGATGGATGTAGGATTATGTCATACCAATTGTAGGAATGACTTTCTGACCTGACTGAGTTCTCTTCAATTCCTATAGCATGCCAGTGTTGTGACCTTAGGCCGGTTGGGATAGAATATGTGACAAGATGGATTCATGCTTTTCTCAATGGTATGTGTGCAAAGTGAAATCAGACAAAAAAACTCAAGTACCAAGTTGAAGTCTTTGTAAATTAAAATACTAATTATTTTTAAAAGAACAAATAAAGGAAAAATAAAACACCACTTTAGCATGCACTTTTTGCAATCATTTGAAGAACTTTATATGAAATCCATGAAACTAGTATCAAAAGAACTGCAAATTTTCAATTTTTATTGTAAAAACTTAACCAGAGTAAGTATTGTCCAACTCACTTTCCTGTTTTGCCATTCCAACATGTATGATACTGAACCATTTGCCAAGGGTTTCTTTGTGATGTTGTCAACCACATTACTCATGAGCCAAGGGAAATCAGTTCTTTCGACCAATTCCATGAGACGGTCAACACCAAAATCTGTTTCCAAAAAAATAACATTAAAAGTTTTTAAACAGACATCAAAATATAAACAACAAAAATTAGTTTTAAAAATTGGTTAACACATTCAGTTTTTCAAAGTGTCCTCTTCCTTTCTTTCACAAACTTCTTTATACAAAGAGCATCAGTAGAATCTCCATAGTAACTTGGTTGTAATTAAGGAAGAGAATTCATTCATTTAAATAATACAAAAAAAAAAAAAGAATATTTAAAGTTACAGTGCTTTTTTATTAATTAAATCTACTCATTAAACTATTTTATATTAAATCTTCATCAACATAATGTATTCCCAACAATATAACATTTATCTCTAATTTTGCAAGAAATATTTAACAAAAACAAAAAACACCACAATTTCCATCAGTTTCATAGCCCTACCTTAAATAGAGTTATGCTACAAGATTATAACCTACTGGATATTCTCTTAGTGAACTATTTAAACAAAACATGCAACTAACTTTATAAATACTATTGCATCTGCATAGCTTACCTTGTTTGGGATTTATAGGACAGCTCAAACTATGGCTTTATCAAAGCAGTACAATGCTGATACATCTATCACTCATGGAATCTCATAACTTGAGTATAGTTTATCAGTAGTTGAATTATGTAGTACATTGTTTTTTGATGTTATGATCTGTGATTTAAGTGGTTAACCATTAGTGATACAGACAAAACTATATTAGGCCAATGTGATTAGTAGCATCCCTAAATGTAATTTACTATAGGGTTGAACAAAGTTGTGGTTGAATTTGCATCTAAAGAATGCCACACTTATTGAAAGAGAAAGTAACTTAGAAGGAAAATTCTTGTGGGTACTGCTATCAGAAATATAAAATATAAATCTGCACCTGGGAATTTTTTCAAATATCTCATTTTCTAAAAGAAATACTCCTTTCCTAAGTCAACATATATGACTATAAATTTTTTTTTTTTTAAATAGAACAGTTAAATTCAAAATCTTTTTATTATTTAAAATATGTAATACACAAATTTCTCGAACTAAAATAATATAAATATAAATTACTTTATAAAAAGAAATTCAACATTTACTCACTTTCATTTATTAGACATTAAATTACATCCCTTAGCACCCTCCATAATTTACCTTGACTTTCATTTAGTCTGAAATATATTTATGAGAATTCTTAAATTCTGAAAAACAACATTTTTACTTCTACTTTTACTTGTTGCAAAATAAAATCCTTACATTTACCTTAATAAAGTCAATCAAACAACAAAACGTATCAGCTAAGAAGAGTTCCTTTTGTCTTTATTATATATATATATATATATATATATATATATATATATATATATATATATATATATAACAATATACAATTTTGTAAAATTTTATATATCAATAAACAGTATTTAGAAAAATAAAACAAACTGGAAAGGATTTTTGTGACGCATTTCATCCATTAGAATTTCATTGAATTGGGCTTTGATAACGTTGCCACATCTACGCAAATGCACGAAATGAGAGACAAAGGTAGTTTCAAAATTTTTTGAAAGAATATTTTTTTAAAGAATCTTTGTTTTTTCAATCCAAAATCAGCCCAAATCATCTGTATTCTTTTTCTTTCCACCACCTTTGTTCCTGATTATCCCACACTGTGACAATATAAAATCTACAAAGAATGATGATATATTGTAAGAGCCTGGATACAAATTTATTGTGGCTGAACTAGCAAACAAGGCACTTTCCAGACATTTTCATCTCAGTAGATTATTTTCTCTTTTAATCAAAGTAGCATTCACTATGTCAAAACTGTGGTCTATTTTGTTACAGTGAACAACCAATGCATTTTGTATGTTGTTATTTAAAATGTCCCTTTTGTGTTCATATAGTCTCTTGTTTAAACTTCTTGAGGTTTCTCCAATGTATTCATTCAGGCAATTCCTGCATTTGATAGAGTAAATTCCTCCAAGTTTTGGCTGGTTGTTTTGTTTTTTTTATTGATTAAGTCTTTGATTGTTTTGGATGTAGGTGTGACAAATTTTATGTTGAGTTTAGATAAGTTCTTTTCAGTTGTAGTTGTGATAGAGTTAGTGGGTAGAATAATATATTTTTTTGATTTGTTAGGTTTGTTAGGAAGGACAGCCCTTCTATTTTGGAATATTTTATGTGCCTTTCATTTTGCATTGAAAATGAAATAGGTATTGAAGGTTCTTGAATGTATTTTCAATATATTTCTCCTCTTCTTGTAAATATTGAGAGCTGCAAATTTGAATTGCTCTTAAATAGAATCCAATGATCATTCCAGATTTTATTTTGGTGTTATGATGGGAGTAGATTTAACAATAGCCTAGATCTTAGTTTCTACTGAAAATGAACCAATAAAAATGACTTCTACTACCAGCCAAAACAATCTTGAACAAGGCCAGCATGCTGAAAACCTTCGTCACGATGACTTGTGATTTTGTGCTAGCACAGCCATCAACAGCCCCCAAGTGTTCCGTCTACCTATTTTCACTCACAAGCCTTGGATAAACCATGGTATAGTTTTCAGGCACTTTCCAAAGGTGCTGCACACTGGGATCAACACTATACTCACAAAAGTCTGTAGAAAGCTTACAGAAATTACAACAAACACTTGAAAATAAATTGTCTTCAAAACAAAAGTAAATATCAAGTTTGGTGCCACAAAGATAAATTTTTCAACAACCAAAAAATGTGGAACAAAAGTGTTGTATATAATTTAAGATGCTTACCAAAATCATGATTGCCGAAGACGGAACATTTCACCTGACAGGCTTTTAATATTGGAACCATTTGTTCTCCTTGAGTGAAAACACTCACTGAAAGAAGAAAATGAAAGGTAAGATAAATTATTTGTTAATTCAAATTGTTGGTCTTTCTGTTTCAGATACCTCATTGGTGAAACATACAACTGGTGGGCAAGAGTTAAGAGTGTAACAGAGTGTGGTAAATGAAAAAAAAAGGCTAAGTTGGAATATGAGCTTGGAACAGAATGAAAAATGTTTAAGTTAAAATATGGAACAAGACAAAAAGGGTTAAAGAATGGAACGATAAATAAACTAAGAGAAGAAGCAAAATTGCTTTTATTTATGAAAGTCTATTTTTTTAAGCTTGAAGAAAATGACTTTGTTGTTTTGGGGAAAGATATTACCAAAGAGGCCATCTGGAAAAATCTGGGCTGACGATTGATGGTGCTGCCTTAAAGTGGAAGTTACAAAAACATCTCTTAAAGACCAGCTGGAAGAGAGGGTCAATTGGGTAGATGAAATTTGGTAATTTTAAAGCAAAGGCAAATGGAGAAAAACTGATGATTTCTGTCAAAAATCAGAAGACTGTAAAAACAATCCTGGAGAAAGGATTTTATACTTTGCCTAAAAGAAATTAAGATATGAAGATTATGGTAAAAAAGAAGCAGTTAGTTAATTTATGATTATAAAAACAAGACCCCCAGGATGTGAAAATGTGCTGACAACAATTAATAAATATGATTAATGACAAAATATAAGTCCAACCTGATCCCCAAAGGAATTTGAAAATCGAATTTGTCAAGATGACAACAGAGGGGGACAGATTTTGGTGAAATACCAAGAGAGATGAAGTGATTGCCTCTGCCCATTGGCAAATAATGGTACAAGGCACAAATAAGAAAAAAAAGGAGTTACCTATGCCCATTGGCTATGGAAAAGGTGTCTCCCAAATCTGGAAGGATATTAATTTTCCAAAACCAGACAACAAAGAACTCTTGTTGGAAAGCCAGGAATCCCCAAATACCATCAGCCCCATACCAGACTTGAGTAAAAGTCAATATAATTAGAAGACTGAAGTGACCAGCACCAGTTGGAGAAGCAGACGAGAGATGGCCACACTGTCAAAGCTCACAACTTGCTGCCAAAGATAACTCCCGACTTAAGCCTTGTTACAGACTTAGCTAAAATGAGCAAAATGTCATGATAGAATTCAAAGTGGGAAGAGTTAATATTTCTGTACAAAGAATGATATAAACCACATAGGAAATTCTTTGGGTCAGTTTTCTGTCTTCTTTTATTTCAGTATTTACATTAGTCGGACTATAGTCGCCATATTTGTCACAACGTTTCGGCCGTTGGCACAGTGGATAAAGGCGTTGGTTAGATCCAGTGACAGACCCAAAGAAGGTGAGTTCAATACCTGGTTAAGGCAGTGGAGAACTTTCAGAGGGAAAATTAGCAGGAGATAACTGATAACTGACATCCATCAAACATGGCACGTGGAACTAGAACAATCTACCCCAGTGATCGAAATAAAGGGTTCAGTTCGAAATTCCAACCACCTGAAGAAGGCTGGAGCGTACAATGGCCAAAACATTGTGACAAATATGGCGACAAAGATGAGGACAATAGTCCAACTAATGTAAATACTGTACATAATACCTCATCTCAGAAATATAGACAGACTTCTTTTATTTCATTTGCAAAGAACATTGAATATTTTTTTTTCTTTGTGACATAGTTTCACTGGGGTTTGAGCCAATGCCACAATTGCTGACAACAACTCAGCCAGCTTCAAGATCAAAAAGCACAACGTGGCAGAGCAGAACACAGGCTGGGATGCCCAATTCAAAAACTAGCGGCAACATTGACCAGTGTAAGAAATGATCAAGGACCAACTGGTAAGAAGTGTCATAAGAGGATAGTGGTTTGGAGAGATTTATTTTCATACCTGCATGTTTGGCCTCATGATGTGATCAAAGCAATACACTTCTGCTGATGAGATTTCTACTAAAAAAAGGGGAAAGTAATGCTTATATAAACTCCAAAAAATTCACTCTCTCCTGCTTTTTCCAGTGCTCAGAGTACTATGACCTATTTTGTTGGGATTAGTCAATCAACTCGTGAGATGGTATGATGAGCATGGAAAAGAGGCCCCAAGTTACATGCAGACATGTTTATGAAACCAGTTACATGCAGGTTTACTCTATTAGCAGCAAATCAGTTTGGCACTTCCACATACAGCTTCTCTGTAACTTGTCAGGATTCAGGTTTCTGTCAACTCTCTTGTCAATAAAAAACAACAAGAGTTGGTGAGACTTGGTGGCGTGTGAAGTCATTCCCTTTGATATTTGTTCTATGCCACTCACCATGCTGTGGTTTCTGAGGCAGTGTTTTTTATTTTGTTCTCTCTCTCTATATATATATATATATATATATATATATATATATATATATATATATATATATATATTCATCATACTGAATAAATTGGTAGTTTGCTAGAAAAAAGAAATTTAGTTTTTATTATAATAATATCAAACTTTTACGGAAAGGTCTTCCTTCTAAAGTTTATTTTTTTACTAGCAAAATCTGATTAGCTATAAAGTGTGTGTGTGTGTGTGTGTGTGTAATAATAATACATAAAATTGTGTATTTGGGCAGCAATCCCACTTTTATACAAGTTTCATTAAAGGCAACTGACAAGGTACGATGATTAAGCTTTTCATTCAATTTTTCTTGTGTTCATGTAAGTATTCTCTGGACATAAAGCATATAAAGAGTGTCCACATTTTCTATATATCCAAGCACTTTCAGCTATTCTATATATATATATATATATATATATATATATATATATATATATATTAGTGGCTATCATCGTAGCATATAGATGAACCACGGGTTTAAAAAAAAAGGAAAACGTGGTATCCTTTTTCGGTCTTCACTCATCAGAAATGGAAGCGACACAAGGGAATCAACGAAGAACAGACACAAGATGATGGATTTCAAAATAAAACATTTATTTATAAATATATAAACAGATAAAGAAAGAAAAAAAGAACATTCATTTAACAAAGGGGAAGGGGATCATTAAAGAACAGAAGGCGTGAGCGAACACATACATATATAAAAAAAAAAGATCAAGCCAAGAGAATCAACTTATCTTTCAGTCGAGTTGATATTTTCACACAAAATTCTGATTCGCCGAAGTGAGAGTTCTTATGCTAAAACAATATTTTGGCTGGCCGGCGATTTTCCTGGATTCCTTTTCTTTCATAAGTGTTCAATGTCCACAGCATTTCGTACAGGTGTTTCGTTGGGTTGATTCAGTTTCATAGCATTCCTTTCATCTCTAGTCGACAGACTTTGCTGTCTTCTTCATCTCAGTGGGACGAGTTGCCCAGCGACGTTCAACTGCCGCTGGTCAGAGGAAAACTGAAAATCCTACTTTAGATTTTTGCTGTCCCCAAAGACAGTCACATGGGTTCCCTTCGTCCTTGACCGGGTACGCAGGAGGATGGGGCGCAAATCACGCAGTGTTTGTGTGATGGTCAAAAGTTCACTCTACGCTTAGTATGGTCTGATCATGTGAATCGCAGCAGGAGATCCTGATGGTGCCTGGAATTCACTTATGGTCAAACGCCTGATAGCTGCGAAATTTTGGAACCAGGTCATTCTCGCGTCAGGTCACTTCAAAGTTCACGGGCCTTTGGCTTGTGGGTGGAATAGTAGGTAAAGAGGAAAGAATTTGTGAAGAGAAGAGGAGGGTATGGCTGATCATAGAACATATTCGCTCGCAAGTCGAAAGCATTGGATTAAATTTCTATTTTAATTTATTTATTTATTTATTTTCCTTTTATATCTAACTAATTTTCGACGAGAATTTGAGATTTTACTTTGGGGTGCTTTTTAGCCTTACGCCTATGTGGTTAATGAAATCGTGCCTACGTCACAATATATATATATATATATATCAGTGGCTATCATTTTTATATATATATATATATATATATATATATATATATACATATATATATATATATCTCAGTGGTTAACTGAATGACAAAATGGTAACCAATCTTATGTTAGGCATTTCTTCCTATTAAATGAATTCTTCAAACAAAATGTTTTTATCAATGGAATGATATATGTAGGGAGATAGAACCAAATACAACAAACATTCATTACACTGAAAATAGAGATGTTTAAATTTTAATTTTAATTTTTAGTGTCCTATGTATCTACAATGTAGGATATTTACAAACAATAGTGATAAAAATGAAATAAAAGTGATAGAAAGCTGAATGGTGTTGGCTAGGTTATGCACCTAAGGACATGTAACTTGGCAATTGCAAGGGAACTTATTGTGCATGTACAAACATATATTTATGGGATTATGAAGGCAGTGGTGATACATCACTGAGTAACCTTGTGTACTGACTATCCATTCACAGTGACCATAGCAAGAAGACAGCAAAATTAGAGATTTTTCATTTGGAAAAACCCCCACATCACACAATCAAGACTTAGCTCCCTGAAATTTCTAGCTATTGCTATGGAAAGGGAGGAGATTTCAAATTGTGGACAAGATTAAAATGAACACAATTTAAGACAACTGATAGTAATTCCAAAAGACAACTTTGCAGATTGTTTTAAAAAGTAGCAAAGAGGCTACTCTTTGCAACTTTTCAAACTCTTTCTTTTCCACTCTTTCTTTAAACACACTGTCATATTAGGATTTGCAATAAAATAAAACACAATATTAAATTTTTGACAGGATTAGAATATACTTTCTCCCAATCAGTATTTAACCTCAGGCAATTTTTTCTATTTTTTTCACAGCCAGAACAATGAAAAAAAATCTATAAGTTACACTAAACTGCAAAAACAAAAAGAGGAATTTTTTTAATATAAAGCAGATTATTTTATAAAGATTTCAAAAATTAAAGACAATGACATTTTTTCCATGACACTATAAATCCATAATGCAAAATTATTAATAACTAGCATACTACACATAAAAAAGTGTCAAGATTATTTATATATGGATTGGCACTTTATCAATGTGT